ATCAAACATCACCGGTTTACTGTCGGGCTTGGCATAGTTTAGCAAATTATATTCTGCCCCTTCATGTCCGATGTCCTTTCATACCTTTCAAAACATCCCAGGGATTCCCAGGGTATATTTGGAGAAGATCAAAGACGCTCCCCCACTGATCGGAAGTGCAAGAAGTCGCTATCCTCCACATTCTTCTGTGAAATTTGCCCCTCAGGCGTCCATGGTATGTGATTTGCCAAATTTACGTGCGCTAGTCACCTGGCAGCATCAGTTGAAGGATGTTGAATAGGGATGTTAGCTTTTCTACAAACCTTGGCACTTAGTTCAGGTCCGCAGGGACATTCGTTTAGTCATTTTATCACCATTGCTGTGGATGTTGCCTTCCAAACCTGAAGTGCCAGGCCTATGCAAGGCGTCTTTGGTTTGCCAACAGCTACAGCTACAGATGAAAAGATGTGGCAGCGCAATCCAGCGCTGCTTTCGCTTCGTCCTCTTTTTTTGCCCATTTCTCCCAGCAGATGCTTTGCGCCCGGAGATGCATTTGGAATCTCGGCTGAGCCAAGCTGTCAGGTTCCCTGCCGCATCCTCCAGCGGATGTCGTCCTGAGGATTTGGATGCGGAAAGTGGAGATGAGAAGCAACGCCTCTTGGTCGAATCGTCACAGCATCAACAAATTGCTTTCTCTGGGTTAAATATGGTCAAATTTCGTTTGGTTCATTTTTAGTACCCTCTGGTGAACATACAAAAAACTATGGAAAATCATCATTTTCAATGGGAAAATCCACTATAAATGGTCATTTTCAATAGCTACGTTAAATTACCAGAGGGTACTTCCATTTTATGGGTACCCAGAATTTGACCCATATAGACGCTTCGCTTCTCTGAACAAAGCGGATGGTTTATCTTTATTTATTGCTCTATTCATGAGGAAATGATGGTATAATGATGATAAATCATGGAATCCTGGGATTTCCCCAGTATTTCCAGACCATTTGTTCAACCCGACTTCCACAGGCAGCAGCACTGGCCTGGGTACAACGGTTCAGATGCTGATGCAAGCTGCCGACAGCCCCTTGTCTGGCTTGTGATTTCAAAAGTTTTGTGGAACGAACATCCTAGCTGGAATGGTGATCCAAATTATATAACTATGCAATATTAGAATATATTAGACATTAATTAGACCCATATATATCCAGGGGGTTCAAACTTCAAACCCCCAACTAGTCGTGATTGTGCGGTGGCTGCTAGGGAGCTTGACACAGCTTTGTGGCTGATGAGGTTTCTTCATGAGTGCGGACATGGTGGCAGAACGTGGTCCACTCAGTTCAACCACCCTGCTTCTGACCATGGCGATTGAGGTGTGAAAATGGAATGGATACAGCCCCAAATCCACTCGTCCATTCTCATCTTCCCCACCAAATCTACATAAGCCAGAAATCCCATATTACATCATTCCCATAGAAAATGGATGAAACTTGTAACTCATTCCCTATATATATATAATTATATATAATCCCATATAAAACTCATGTAATTCCCACAGAATTCCCATAGAAATTGAACATGGTCATGTCCGTCATGTCCGCATCCCCTATTTTTGGGACCCAGGCGCAGAGGCAGAAAACTACCACTTGGCCTTTGGGGTGTCCAGCTTGGGACTCGAACTCCAAGATCGTGGCTGGACTGATTTTCGATGGACAAAATCCCAAGTTGGTTCGGTGGTTTGGAGGTTGGTTTAGCCAAGAACTGTGGGAGATTGGGTTATCTAACATGGCTGGTTGGTGGTTTGGAACATGAATTTTATTTTTCCTTATATTGGGAATAATGATCCCAACTGACGAACTCATATTTTTCAGAGGGGTAGGTATACCACCAAGCCAGCAAGAGATTTCAAGCATGTTCAACCCATTTCATCCAAAAATGATGCTTTGATCTTTGATTGAACATGGGAGAAACAAAACCACACAATCCAAAGTCACGATCCAACATCATCAAAAACTAAGAATAAAAATCAGCATAACGATCAAACATCATGATAAACTAAAACATTATCATGCACATCTAGCATCCCATGCACAGTTACAGGGCCAGGCCTGTGCAATCGCAGTCTGCGATTGGCCAGGCCTGTGATCCACCAATCGGCAATGGGGGCGTTGGTTTAAACTACTACACTTGCATTTGTATAGTATATATATATGTATATATTATTTGATTGTTTTTGATGTTTTTTTGTCAAGCATAACATTTTCTATGACTTATTCGTCTTATTGACTCCATCCCTTAGGTGAACAGAGCCCCAATGGGGACGGATCAAAACCGATCATTGCTATACATTGTTAATATTGTTACACCATATTTTGATGTTCACCACGGGGCCGAGCCATACTCACCTTGGCATATTTGCCATGGTCAAGTTTTTTGGGTTATATAGTTATATATACCATCTGGTTATTTAACATAGCCATGGAAAATCCCTTACAAATGGAGGTTTTAATTGGAAAATCATCTATAAATGGGCCATTTTCCATGGCTATGTTAAATAACCAGAGGGTATATATACCTGGGTTTGTGGGATGGCCATCAATCCATGACCAAAACTGCTCGGTTTTTGGGATTGATACGACTCTACAACCTTGCCATGGATTGCCACCATGGGATGATCACACCTTTTGAAAACGTTTCCCACGTAGCTTGGCTGTGGCACGAATGAAGTACCCTCTGGTAAACTAACATAGCTATGGAAAATCACTATTTTTAATGGGAAAATCCACTATAAATGGTCATTTTCAATAGCTACGTTAAACTACCAGAGGGTATGATTTCAGTAGATCCTCAAATTAGCTTCCGACATCGCCCGTGTACGCTGGGTTTTGATATCGATCAATGTCATCAACCCAAATTTCTGGAGCTGGACTTGCCACCTTGAGGCTTCCGGATGTTCGCAGTGACTCGCGCACTGAGCTTAGAGGGAGAGCAATCATTCTTGGACAATATGTGTATGATTGTGTATGTATATATATATATATAAGATTGTTGTGTGTATATATATATACATACACATGCAGACATGTATCATATATATATATTATATATTATATATATATGTGTGTGTGTGCGTGCACACACACGTATATTATATACAGTGATATATACAGATATTATGATATTATTGTGCAAACATGGTAAACTTTAGAAGAACTTTAAGACACTCAAGGGTATATACCATGCGTGGGGGTATTCACTGCTGAACTCTTAAGCCAAGGCTTTTGAACTGGCAGGACGAGCGAAGAATGAAGGCCGGTCAGCTGTGGCATCATGGCCATATATCTTAGGACTGATTTTGACAACCAGATGGCTCCAGGTCACAGCATGGATTCAGATCCTTCCTCTCCGCCACTTGGATCACTTGGCAACCTGGGACATTTGCGTAGGACTTAGCTGATAACATAGATGTCCTATTTTCCGGGTTGATCAATAGTGGGCCCCCTCCATTCAACAACCTTTATTGGTAGATAATGATAAATAACATGCCAAACCGGCAGCTCTATTTTTCTGAAGGGGCCAATATTGGTTGACAAAGCTGGCACATCGTTTCTAAACCCAAGTCTGCTTGTGATTTTCTTGATAATTTACCAGTTCCAATATTGTCATATACCGATACCAGAAATTGCTGGGATTCCTAAGTTCAACTATCGTCCCCAAAAGGCAGAGAAATTGTCAACCAATCATAATCCCCCATGAAATATCACTATCTACCGTGTCATATATATATATATAAATACACACATATATCCGCACTTACAGATGATGTTCGATCAGTTTTATTGTAACCCTGTTATTTATGGATTGTCAACCATAGTAGTTCACCATTGTATCATTATTCAGCCCAAGTAGAAAAGTCACAGTCAGCACCTGGCTTCACCGCCGCTCTGAGGCCGAAAAACAAAGAAGAAGAAACAAAATCCATCGTAGCAAAGTCCATCGCAGCTTGCGCTGAACAGCTTATCCCGTAGCTGACCCCCAAATATGGTCATTAAATAGAAAAACTGCCATGGGCAAATGCTGAACAACGATTTCATTTTTTTTGAATTGGGGCACCCAATCTTCAGTCAGACCAAAAACATGAACTGGCGCCATTTTAACAGACATGTGAACCATTCCCAATAGTCATCAATGAGTTTTAAAGCATTGGGTGCCACTCTACATAGATTTTGCTGCAATTTTGGTCCATGTTCGGTAGTAAATCGTCCCATTTTGGCGATGATCCCAAATTCGAACGATGCTTCGGGTTTTGATTTGAAGAGATTTGACCTTGCAACTTTTCGCATCCATCACCGGTGTTGGCTGTGACAGGAATTGATGAAACCCGATGCCAATTTCAGCTGCCAAGACGATCGAAATTTGGATCTTTGGCTCCGAGCTGCTTGGTGATATCTTGGTGATGATGGTTGCTATCAACAAACCCAATCAACTTACCCTCTGGCAAACAAACATAGCTATTGAAAATGGCCATTTATAGTTGATTTACCCATTAAAAATGGTGATTTTCCATAGTTATGTTAGTTTACCAGAGGGTAATAAGTAACCACAACCAAGCATATTGTTATTGTTGGAATTTGTTGGATAAAATGTCAACCCATGTTGTTAACATCTCTTAACTGTCATCAAACCTCATCCATGATATTAACTATCATTAGACCCATATTGTTGGGGGGCCACCTTTTCTTGGGCAGGGAAGTTACCCAGATGGAATGCGGCAGTCGATGATTTTCTCGGAACTGAACTGAGGGAATGAGATCCGAGCTGGGTACAAGGCACAACCCATGACCAAGTCGTTGGCAACTAGCACCTGACCACAGTATGATGCAGAGCAATCTCGTGCCAGAAAAACAGAGCCCATTCAGATAACTCCACGTCGACCAGAGAGTAATTTTGAACATTTGAACATTTGAACTGGCAATTGGTCAAAAGTCACTTCAGAACTGATTCTCCCTTACCCTCTGGTAAATTAACATAGACCCTGGCAGATAGGGATTGGAAGACTAGTTTCCATTAAAAATTGGTGATTTTCAGGGTCTATGTTAATTTACCAGGGTGTATTTGCCACTTCATTTCAAATTGGGATGTCCCATTGCCGAGCTCGCCTGAAGGAGAGCTCGGGGGACTGCACAACATTTTCGCGCCCGCACGACGTTGAAGAACTATTGCAACATCCTGGAAATTGTGAAGGACAAGGCGCCTTTAAAGCCTGCTCCTTAAGCCTAAGTCTAAGTAATAACATGTATTAACATGTATTAACATGTATTAACATGTATTAACATGTATTAACATGTATTAACATGTATTAACATGTATTAACATGTATTAACATGAATTCATGTTTGAAAACAACCTGATACTCACAGGATCTAAAGCAGAATACTTCAGTTTTGTCGGAAATGGGTGGTATTCACACCCATGGTTCCGTTAAGTTTTGCCATCCGCCAGGCCAGAAATGTTCAGGTTGACATGGAGGACGTGAGGCGCCTCCAAGAGGTGCGAAATCGGAGTTTCTAAAGTCATAGGGGCACCCCCAGCTATCGTCCAGCTATCAATCCAGCTATTAATCCAAGTGAAACTGGTCATTTTTGGAATATATATATATACGAGAAATCTGGTGATATATATATATATATATACATATTATGTATAATATATATATATATACATACATATTTTTATATTGGGGAGCCCAATGATGATAAGCTTTTTTGGGCGAATATGGGGACACTGAATGATGATAAGTTTTTGTTTTTTTGACGAAGCATGCTGCCATACTGGGTTTCATCTCTGCCAAAGTTTTGGAGGCAGCAAGTTCTGTTGGAGCAACCAGAAAGATGGAAAAGTCTTCGCCTCAAGCTTTTTGTGGTTTTAAGATGTCTGTGGCAACAGTGAGACAGCTGACAGCACCATGGACCATTGCCTCTTTGTGGGAATGAGATTGAAAGCAGAGTTGACATCAGAATTCAGAATTGCAAGGCTTGGCTCCTTTGCTGAAAGATATGGTTTGTTTGAGATTTTCGTACTGTATCTACCCCAAAAATTCATTGGGAGATTATGGCAATAAAATCGAGTTTCCCTCTCTTTTTGGACAAACCCAATCATGTTGTTGGTAAATGTTGGTTATATATATCATATTATGGGAATATCCTATTACATTCTATTAATAATTACTATATTTTATTGTCTCCTGTCCTAGTGTCGCCTAAAGCAATAGTAAACCATCCCCACATTTACCATAAATGGATGGGATTCCAACCATCAAAAGATTGGTAGTTTATTATTGGTTTACTAACATTATCTCCTATATTGTATCCCTAATTATCCCATAAATTGCTGGGATTGTATACCTGAGGCCCGAGCCTGTGCAGCGTGGTCCCATGCATCAAAGTGAAGAGGACAAGCGAAATTGGCATCGTGCAGCGTTTTGGCAGCAACTGGCCAAAGTCAGAAATTTCTCAATCTGAACGAACTATTTCAGCCTTTTGAACTAGATAGTTCGATAGATAGACATATGAACCAGATACGATAGCTTAGATGGATAAACTACCACTAGACTAGGTATAGGTACTACATTGAGCGCTACTGTGTTCATGCTTGTTCATGTTTGTTTATGTTGTGCATGAAGACGTGAAACAAGCGTCTAACCTGCGTCTCCGTGGCGGACCAAGGAAGCGATCCGGAATCTGAACTGGTGACTCGTTTGGGGGGACAGCCAGGTCTTGATTTGGTTCTCAAACTGGGTGATATTGCCAACTAAGTAACTAATATCAACATATATCAACTACAGATTTATATAGATTTATGATGGTTTATGCCATTTTGGTTCATTTTGAGTTTTTTATTGAGGGGAATGACAATGAACCATGGAATTGGCTCATCCCTGATTGGTTTCGACCCGGCCAAGGATCTCCAACTGGGATGCTTCAGATGTCAATCTGTTGAAGGAGCTTCATGTCAGGTCGGGCTGCCGCCACTGCCCGTCGCTGTGCTTCCATACCCTCTGGTAATTTAACGTAGCTATTGAGAATGGCCATTAATAGTGGATTTTCCCATTAAAAATGGTGATTTTCCATAGCTATGTTAGTTTACCAGAGGGTATCTTCCCTGCGCAGGGCTGTGATGATGAATAAGAACCTGAACAAACTTGCCACTCGGAGCCTGAAAGTCGTCGCAAGACTAAGTGACCAAGTCTTTTTGTTCAGCAAAACTGCCCACAGCGGTAGCATGACATATTCTGCCAGCCAAACGAGGTGCAATTTAGTGCTGAGAGTGCGGAGCCCCTCGGCTTATGTGGGAAACCCAAGAAAAACCCTACCATTTTGGGATGGGTTTGCAGGATCCATTTGTAGTGATTTTTGGGATGGTTTATTAAATATTTGGTTTGCCACAATTCATAGATGTTATGTATTCTTCAGATTTCCTCAGACTGTATGCCCATCTCAGTGCTGGTGTCGCCTGGGCCCCAGGGTTGACTGGCTGACGGTCGAGCCTGAGACGACCAAGAAGCCAAGTGGGAAGGCAGGCCGCGTCAAAGAAAAGCTGCTTGAGGGTGCAAAGTTCGTCGGCAACACAGCTGCAAAAAGTGAACCCTTGGATCAGATCAGATCATGGGTACGATGTGGCACTGCCAATGGTTGGCCGAAAATGATGAGGCAAGTACACAAAGGCATATCTGAAGAAATTGGGCAAGAGCAGTACGCTCTTTTTTGAAACTTGGCGAGCGGGATTGGACACACGCATGTCTGCAAATCTACTTCCCTTTGCGCGGTCGGCCCCCTTGATGGGTGATGATCATTGCCCCTCTCATTCTGGTCATTCTCAGATTCTGCCACTCTTGTGTTCTCGGAAATTTCCATCATTTTCCTCAAAAAGCTCCACTACTTTCCCCGGCACCTCATCCACTGCTAACCATGCCTTGCCTCACCGTGCTTCCTCCAAAAGATTTGTTCGTCATACCATTTGGATCCATTTGGTAAGCAGGGCCATGGCCGTCGTTCTATGAGAATATCCACTCTACTTCCAATGCTTGTGGTCCACATGCATCAAAGGCATGAGAAAGGATAAGACGTATTTGATCAGTCGTGTTTTTTTGCAGATAACATCCAACTATAGATCATACTAAATCACCATTTTTGTTAGTTATAAGTTATAAAGTTATGTTATGTTATGTTATATCCCTATACCCCCATGAAGTCACAACCTGAAGACTCCGATCGCTCTTCCAAGTCGAACTGCTGGAGCAGCTTCAAGCGTCATCTTCGGAATTCTGAGCGCCGCTGCGAGAGGGAAAATGAAGAAGGCGCGGTTAGGCCAAAACCGAGAAACAAAGCACAAACCGAAACCCAAGCCATACCTAAAAAGAATTCCAAACATATGTAAACATATTCTAAGGTATTTGATGGTACTTACTCGCTCATTGTGTATATATTAACTAGAGTCACTAGAGATTTAATGAGATTTATATAGAATGTTGCATCGTTTTCCATGGATTCTTTAGACACTTCAGTCAGGCCAGTCAGTCTCTGACACGTTTGATGTCAGGTTCTAAAAAAGCTGCAAAGACGGCCGGACTTCCACACAGCACCAGCCAAAAGACCATTTCCCAGAGAGCCCACAGATTGTCAAGCATGGAGGTTGGAGTGTCCTGGCCTCGAATCATGACACGAAGAACACGAAGGTCACGGTCACAAATCATGACGTGGCCATGGACACAATCCATTATGGCATTAAACTCCACTAACGGTTGGGGTTTATGGTAGATATATCATGATATATCTACACTTACTATACTGCGTGGCTTATAAGCCAAGAAGATCCAAGAAGCATCACTGGGAGGGCGAAAATGCATCGGCATTTTACCGAGAAAAACCTCAGGTCCTAAAGAAAGAACGCGGCAAAGTTGAGAAAGCCATGGATGTAGCGATCCACGATGCTGATCTAGGCTCTAGCGTGCCAGCGCTTTGATCACCTAGGATTCTACACAGGTCCCCAAAAAGATACATAATGTTTTTACAGGATGCTGTGGTTTGCAGATATTTACAGATGATGTTTCTTTCAACCATCATTTCCAGATATTGACTTTTTTTTCTATCTACTGTATCACTGCATTGATTCAGAAAAATCCAAGGAGGAACAGGAAAAATCCTGGTTTCCCCATCAAATCTATAGGGGGGTCCTGGCTGCCACAGGTTCCCTTCCAGAAGACGAGGCAAAAGCGAAGCTAGGCGACACAACGACCGCTCGATTTGGGTTGATGGGTGGACCGGTAGACCTGGAGTTTTTTGTGCAACCACCCAAAAACGATAGAAAAGCAGAGAGAAAAGTACCCCCTGGTAAACTAACATAACTATGGAAAATCACCATTTTTAATGGGAAAAATCAACTATAAATGGCCATTTTCGATAGCTATGTTAGTTTACCAGAGGGTAAATCAATTTCTTTTTACATCCATGTCTTGCTGAGTATTTCATTTGTAGGTCACCAGGTCGCAACTTGACTGCCGACTGGGCGTCAGGCACTGTTCGCCAAACAGCACAAGAACTTCACCAGCAATTTGACAAAGGACTGGCTTCGTGCAGCCAGACATTTTCTGGGGATCTTCCAATGATTTTCCTGAAATGTCGCCCCTACAGTGGAGCCTGAGAAATTGGGGTAGGTACCTCCAACTTAGCTACCCCCAGAACTGGCCATGGATTGATATTTTCAACCATGGTGGATGTAGGTGATGAAACCACAACTGGAACCAGAGAATTGTTTGATATTGTTTGTGTGTTTTTTTTTAAATCATGGGGATGGGATGAATGAAATATTCATGGATTGATGGAATATTCGTGGGATCACCAAGAATCATGATATTTCATGAGCCTACCATTTGGATCCATTCGGGGGGGAGTCACCATCGAAAATAGGAATTCAACCACCGAAACATTCGGACAAGATGATGGAGATTTTCCCAGAAATTGGTTGGAATCCCCAGCTATTTCTGGGAAGCCATTGGGGGTGGTTTATTGGATCACATGGTAGCCTCTGGCAAAGTGACAGTTTGTGAACTGGAAAATCACCATGTCAAAGTTCGGAAAATCATCTATAAATGTTGTTTCTATGGCAATTTTCAATAGTTACGTTAAATTACCAGAGGGTATTTCCACCAAGAAAACACGATTCAAATTCGTCTATGTCAAAAATCACCATATTTACTGTAATGTGGTGCCCTTTGGCCGTTTGATAGGAAAATCAAGTAAATTTCTATGGCCATGTTCAATATTTGTTTACCAGATGGTACCCTCTGGTAATTTAACATAGCTATGGAAAATCACCATTTTTAATGGGAAAATCCACTATAAATGGCCATTTTCAATAGCTATGTTAGTTTACCAGAGGGTACCCCATTCCGAAGCCAGCGACATTAGCTCCCCCTTGATCAGGAGAGCTTGACCGGATCGATGAGGCCGAGGAGATCATCGACGAGGTCGAAGGCACTGCCACTTGATGGCGCCATGGAAAAGCACCATTTTTTGCATAAGTTTCATAGTTAGCTATTATTATAAATGGCAATGTTCGATAGCTACGTTAAATTACCGGAGGATTATATATATATATATGTATGTATGTTATTATGTTATAGGTAGAATCATTTGTTGCCACTGTCGCAGCCAAGGTTTGCAAGACTCAACGAAAATCAGCGTTCCAACGTTTGAAGGACCTTGACGCCTTGATGGCGTTCTCCGTGTGATTTCTTTCCTGGCCTTGTGTTTGCTGTTCTGCTTGGGGGTCGGCCTTTGCTGAGGACGTGTTCCGAAAATCGAAGGACTCTTTGATGGCTGGCTTCAAGATGACAGTTCCTTGACTCCACTGAACATGGCCCTTCACATGCCACCACTTATAGCCGGAAACATCCAAAAAACATGGAGGAAATGATGGGAAACAATGATTCACCATCCCCAAACTGTTTTTTTCTTCCCATATTTTTCCCATTTTCAGACCAAGAAACGGAGCCGATTCCAGCATATTCCACCTGAATTTTGCTTTCATGTTGTAACACATCATTCCCACTATATCATCTACCCCTCTGGTCAATTAAAAATTGGTTATTTTCAGGGTCTATGTTAATTTACTGGAGGGAAAACATCATCTATATTATACCATGTGTCCATTTTTCAGATCATTTTTCTCCTTTCTTCCCACCCTCAACACATCTCAACATGCCATGATAATCCATGATATCTCTCGATGCCCCTGGTCAAATTCGGCCCTGGGAGGCGCCCAATTTGGGCATTCGCGGCGTTGGGATGTCGGCGTCTGGCTTTGGTGGCGGACTGGAAGAGGTCACCATGGAGAAAAAGCGTGATATATTGTGAAGTACTATTGTTTTATAAGGGGCTTATATACTTATTGTATGTCATTGTGATTTATATATATATATACTGTAATACATCTGAATCTATACTTATTCCTTGTTTCAACATATTTTAAATGATTATGGCCTCTATATCAATATTTCTTAAGACGGTTTGAGTCTATGTTCCCTGCTGAAGTTGTTCTTGTGGTGGGATTCACCATGACAACGACTGTGACCGCCTTGACAACTTGACTGTCAGCCGCGCATGGTGTAGGTGGTGGACTTCCGAAATCGAGAGATTGCTCAGTTTCGGCCCCTTGGCATCGGGAGCGAAGTGCTCTGTTCTCCATGTGCGAAGGGTAACACATGCAATTTACGCGACACCCAAAAAGATCGAGGAAATGACCACTGCTTTAGGCTTAATTACTTTATATAGTAGAATTAGACTGTTCATGACTGTTCTATCTTTTTCTGGGTTGCTATTACACTTCCATATTATCTATATATGACGGTTCAAAACGATGGGCGAGAACTGCAGGTGGGGTGCTGGCTTCTTTGGAGCTTCAGTGGGAGGAATGGGCATGGGCGGCTATGCGGGAATCGGCTGGAAAGGCGCGGGGCAATGTCCAGCGGACGCAGCTCTGCACAGCTGACGCTGGTGAGACCCTGTCAGGATATAAAGAGAACTGGACTTTGCAAGAGGCCCAAGTCACAGGCTCACTGCACTTTTGGTAACCCGTAGCTGAAACTGAGAAATTTGAGAATGACACCTTAAGATTGCTGAGCAATCTGAGCAATCTGAGCAATCTGATGAAGTCTTTGCTTTGTTGGATCGCTTGGAGGCCTTTGGACTTCCAAGGGTTTGACACCATCCATCTTCGGGATCAATGCAGGTCCGGTCGCATATAGAGACCACAGAGGTTACAACTCTTGCGCGCGGACCATGTTTCGCGACTGAGGTCTAAGCGTCACCTTCGGGACTGATGCGGACAATTCAGTCCCAGGTGCCTGATGTGCCTGGTGATGGTTTCATGAACGCCTTTACTCAACCTGAGCCGGTATGATGATCAGCCGAACTGACTAAGGGTCTCAAAGTTGTATGATTTATAATAGTTGAATAATAGTTACTACTACTATATAATAATATACAATACTATATATATACTATATATGAGACTTAGCAAATCAAATCCCAAGTGACGGATCTTTTCGGAGCGCGTTTTCAAGGCCCATGGGTGCCTGAGCCACATGGCATGAGCAGCGTGCTATTGGGCTGGAGCGTGACCTGGCTCACCTCGAGGTGGTCCAAACATGGGAAACAAACGGAAAAAACGGAACAAAAAAGGATTCCACCATTTTTGGAATAGGGAAAACATATGGAAAATTACTGAAAATTATATGATCAACCAGTTCATACACTTCCTTTCAATGTAGGTCTAAATTCATTGTAAATGGGGTTGGTGTTTTCCCAAATTGCACAAACGTGTAATGCCAAAATCCCATATATCATTCCTTTAAGGATTGCACATTTTTTAATGATGTGGTTAAAACAATGTCATAAACCACCCATTTGGGAATGGTAAACATACTACCTATAAAAATGGTGATGACTGGGGGATGGTTTATTATTGTGTTACCCACATTAGGGAAAATATATGGAAAGTTATGATCAACCAGTTCATACACCAATTGCGTTCAAAATTGGGTGCCCAATTTGGGCCCCATGGGCAAAAAAGAGGCTGCCCGCCCCCATCGCAAAGGTCGGGGCTAGCATCACAAAGGCGGTGGTGCCAATTTCAGTGGACTTTGGCGCATCCTACTGTTGGTACCTGACTCTCCGCTTGCAAATCTTGCGATTTTACTCTTTTTTGTCACAAAAAATCACCCCCGGATCCGGATACAGAATATCTAGGACCATACGGTGGGGGTGTTTAGTATGAATGGGGGATAGGGTTACTCTAAGATCTCAGCTTCAGATGGTCAGGTTATGTCAAGGTATGTCAAGTTGCAAAATCATGGTCACGCTGGAACATGCTGGAAAGATGGGTGTGTTTCTTCACGAATTCTAGCCTGGCATCGATGGCACCCTGATGAGTGATATATGGGGGTTTCCTAAAGTGGTGGTATTTTAGTCGGGTTTTCCATTATAAACCATCCATTTGGGGGATCCCCCATTTCAGGAAACCTCCTAATATATCATAATCACTCTATACTGATCACCAGGATGCCAGGATCGGCTTAGATGAATGGGCGCCATTTTTTTTTGCTTTTGAAGCCCCTTTTTTCTGCGGTGCGAAAACCATGGTCTCCAGTAACCTTTCCCTTGAATCCATTCAGTTCACTGTGCCCCAAGAAACTCGGAGTGCTTCGAATCCTTGGAGGAGTTCATCAAGCAGCATGGCCGAAGATGAAACTTGCAACTGCAGGGACTTTCTTACAATGGGGGACCCCACCAACCATCCAAAAAGTCCATAAAAATGCTAGCTGCTAGATGCTGCTAGTTTTTGCGTAGGAAAACCATTGGCTTGGGGAAGTCCTCCATTTTAAACCAACAGTGCTGTTGACAGCTGGTTTTTCTTTAGTCTCTGAGAGGTACTTGTGGCTCCCGCTTTGCAAGGATTGTCAAGGAGGGGGAACACAGCAAGAGAATCGGTCGAATTGGTTGTCATCTTGCAATTCCCATAGGATCCATGGTGCTGGTAGATTAGTGCTAACATAAAGGGGTACCATATATAGTATATAGCATACATGGATCCTATGGGATTTGGATGTGACAACTATGAAAAACTCGCAGAATCTTCCCGACTTTCTTGAAGACCTCAGCCACACAGAGGAACAAGCGAGCGTGCCATCGTTTCTGGCTTGCGCTTTGGGATTCACGCGCCCAGCTTTCCAATCATCAGCCCTGGCACTTAGATCACTATCAAAGATGATGTGTAGAAGCCTGGTGGAATTTCTTCTAATATCACCTTTGATTAACTTGAATTTTATTCCAACGCAGTGGTCATTTTCTGATCGAGATTTGTTGAATCCGGATGACCTGAAGGTGAAATGGCCTTTTCTGTCATTGCAGCCTTGTATGACCGGCGTGTTCGTGAGACTGACTACAAGCCAGAATGCTCACCGGGCAGTGTGACAACCAGAAGCTCGGTAGTAAACTGCCAGCGCTGCTCTGGCTGGCTGATCGGTGTTGCCTGGGATCACCGATCCATAAATCTCCGGCGCAGAACTCTGAGGAAAGGATCCGGCGCACCTTATCCGCCAAATTGGAGATTTGATGTTTACCAACGCACGGCTGCTGGAAGACTTGGTCAGCAAATGGGAAGCTTGGGATGGAGAGAATTGCTGTGTCCCAAGTATTGGAGTCATCCAGACAGATCCCCAGTCATTACCCAAGGATATCCCAAGGATGAAGAGATCCTTTTCTCCCAGATTTTCTGGAGATCTGGTCCATGAATCCAGTCAGAACCAAGTGTCGATGGATCCATTTCCCCCAGCCGAGGATGTCTTTGTCCACGAGATGAGCATGGCCGAGGCGTACAACCCTGACATGGAGAAGTCCAAGGAGTATAGGAAATGGCTGAAGGCGGACGCGGGAGCGGACGCGGGAGCTCAAGTGCACTTCATGGTGAAAATCACCATATAGAACTAAGAAAAACAACAGGTGATGGCCATGAGCAAAATATATAGGTTATACGATAGATATCTATAGATTAGAGGTGATTAGAATGAATAGAATAGATCAGAGATGAGATCGGCATACATTGTTTTCAAGCTTGCAAAGCACATTTCTCGTTTTCCCGTGGTCCAGTCTGTGGCAGTTCGCTGATTTGTCCAGGCTGCAACTACAGAATTTCAAGCGTGTCCAAAGCAGGGCCCCATCTCAGAAATCTCGAGCGACACGATGGACGTGTTCAAGCAACTGGCCTCAAAAAGGGCTGAAGAATGCTGAAGATGTTTCCGAGATTTGCCGTGATTGGCTTGCTATGTATCATTCAATGTTAACTCCCTATGGATCCAAGTACCTTCTTAGGAAGTGTTTGGGGTATAATTTACTATAATTTACTATAATTTGGAGGGTTAAGCACCTTCTCAGACAGTGTTTGGATCCATATAGGGACTTGTTGTTTAATAAATCCCTAAGTAGGATGATGAATCCTCCCCGATCAACAAAAGTCTCCGGGGTTGAAAGCACCCAGTTGAGAAATGAACCATAGGGCCTGGTGCATTCAAGTTTACAACTGGGTGAGATTAGGTTTTCTTAGAGCTTCAAGGCTTTGACACCGTTGACAGGACTTCTGGGATCCAAAAATGGAACTGAAGCTTTCAGCCATTTCAGCCAGCCCTTTTGGCTAGTCTCGCCATCAGGGAGATGACTGACGATGAGTTGCATGGCCTGTGCAAGACTTACAAGAAGCAGTTTGGCTTGCGACTTGGCTGACTTGGCTCGCTGGCTGCAGGATCCTTTGGCCGAAACTCCCCCGTTGAATCGATGAGATTCTGAGGGAACTCTTCTGCGACGCTCCGGGCCAGACCCGCCAGAGCCTAGAGGAGCCAAGCGATGTATTTGAAATTGCTTGGTTGGCTACTTTAGTAGAACTCAATCTGCTGCCATAGTTATGGACATCTAATATATACACAATACAACACTATATACAATAAATAAAAAGAACGGTAATTATTGTTATTACTATTATCAATATATATATATATACAGTGTATACACACACACACACATATATATATATATATGAACAACCGTCTAAACTCGCGTTATGGAAGATATGTATTCGCTGGACATTGGTTGTCATAAAATGCAAAAAACTGAGGTTAGCGATGGGACCTTTCCAAAAAGCGATGCCCCCATTTGAGATGTTTCATCTGTGCCCCACAGTTTTGGGCTCGGGGTTAGTTGCGCAAAGCACTGTTGTTGCTATGTGTTTCAAGTACAATCTGTTTTGAGCCTTCTTTTGGATGTCTTAAGAACTAGGTAGCCCCAACAGGCCCCAAAGAGGTCTGAAACCAGTTCGAAACATCTTCCTGCTCACCGTCTCAAGACTTCTTCTTTCTCTCTGTCTCTTTCTCCCTTCTCTTCTTTCTTTTCTCGTTCTTTCCTTTTTTTCCTCCAAAGCTGAAGTAGCCTAAGAACAAAAAGAGGTCTGAAACCATTCTGAAACACCCCGCTGCTCACCATTTACAACGCTCTCTCTCTCTCTCTATCTCTCTCTCTCTCTCTTTCCCTCTTCCTCTCTCTGTCTCTCTCTCTTTCTCTCTCGCCTTCTATTTTTCTCCATGTCTGTCTCGTGCTATCCTCTTTTCCGGACCGCTGCATGTGTTTCAAGTACAATCTGTTTTGAGCACCTTCTTTTGGATGTCTTAAGAACTAAGTAGCCCCATAACAGGCCCCAAAAGAGGTCTGAAACCAGTTCGACACATCTTCCTGCTCACCGTCTCAAGACTTCTTCTTTGTCTCTGTCTCTTTCTCCCTTCTCTTCTTTCTTTTCTCGTTCTTTCCTGTTTTTTCTCCAAAGCTGAGGCAGCCTAAGGACAAAAAGAGGTCTGAAACCACTCTGAAACACCCCGCTGCTCACCATTTACAACGCTCTCTCTCTCTCTCTATCTCTCTCTCTCTCTCTCTTTCCCTCTTCCTCTCTCTGTCTATCTATCTCTCTCTCTCTCTCTCGCCTTCTATTTTTCTCCATCCCTGTCTCGTGCTATCCTCTTTTCCGGACCGCTGCATGTCTTTCCGGGCCGCAATGTCTACAATTAGAGTACGTTTTGGGTGCTTGCAAAGCAGCTCCTCCAGCAGTTCTTCTTCAGATTCATCCAGCTCAGAGAGGTGAAAGCTCGGAGCAGCTGCTTTCTTCATGAATGTGATACCTCCTTTAATTGGGTTTAGTATTAGCGATACCCCCTCCAAACTAATGAAAGCAATGATATGTAAATTGTTACGGGACTGTGGTTAGCGATGGGACCTTTCCAAATTATGTTGATGTCCTTTCCTCAGACAAGGAGTTTCGACAACCGCACATATACAATGTATACATATATATATATGTATACAGTATACAGATGTATACAGTACACAGACAACTCGGTTAAGAACTGCAGAGTATCTAAGATTTGCCACAGAAACGGGTCGTTGGGTTTGGCCATGCACAAAACCAAGCATCAACGAAGGGGTTGTTTAGCCAACAACTGTGGGAGATTGGGTTATCTAACATGGCTGGTTGGTGGTTTGGAACATGAATTTTACTTTTCCATATATTGGTAATAATCATCCCAACTGACTAATATTTTTCAGAGGGGTTGAAACCACCAACCAGGTTTGGTGTTATAGGACCAACAAGAACCGGTTGGTGGTGTAATGTCTTGGAAAATGCGATCCCTTAAGATGGTCTCTAAGATGGGGATGATGCCCAAACCTAGGTGTTGCTTGAATTTAGGGGTTACCCTCATCATTTCTTTCCTCTTACCCTCTGGTAAACATACAAAAAACTATTTAAAATGGCAATTTATAGTGAGTTTTCCCATGAAAAATTGTCATTTTCCATATAGTCATGTTAGTTTACCAGAGGGTATCGAGAATGACTAGTTTGACTTGGATCATGACTGTGCACCATGGATTGATGGGTAGCCATGGTACCCATGGCCAGGAACGGCTCTTGATCTATGACAATCTGAAAGAAGGATGGCTTTCAACTCAGGACGTCTACCCGCGCTGTGTTTTTGACCATTCCACCAACCATCCACTAGGAGTTTTGTTTTTAAATCATCCCGAATAGAAGTATACATTAATAGGTATACCGTATATAATGTATACTTCTATTCGGTATACCCAATGCCATAGAACATCATAAAACTCGAACTTGGGATGCTTTATATCAACTTGATGCCTTTATGGCTTAGCTAGTTTAGCTCATGTTTGGGACTGTGGCTTTCTGTTTAAGGGGCTCATAAGGGACCTCCGAAGCGGACTCCACCAGGACTTGCAAAAGTTGATGATGGCGCTTCGATCTACGTCAATTGCAGGTCTCGTGGGTGAAACATGGTGAAACCTCTCAGAAAATGGGGCGCTAAAGAGTCCTTGGATTCTTGGGACGTTGTGGTTGGAAGTTTTATGTGGGTTCCTAAAATGGAGGTACCTCAAAATGGATGGTTTATAGTGGAAAATCCTATTAAAATTGATCATTGAAGGGTACCTCATTTTAGGAAACCTCCATTTGATTAAATTTATCAGGATTTATCTAGTGAGATGATTTGAGATGTGATGTGGCCACGTGCTTTTCTGTTTTGGATCAGCATCACATGGCATCACTTCGGCAACCGGCCAGGCAAAATCTTTGCAGAGAGAAGGCACGAGTGCCTTCACAACGACACCACCAAGATCCTATCGTCGGTGGACGCCCGCGTGTACGTTTACCGATGCATGCCGTCTCTTGAAGGCTTGAAAGTTTTAGAATCGCCCCTTGGCGAGGTCACATGAGGTCACACTTTTTTGTGGTGGAACAGACAAACCCCATGCGAAAGTGAAACGATGTACAGTAACTACTATGTGACTGGGATGTGATGCATATGGTTTGAAGATTTCTCAAGTATCTCCAAGGGCAGAACTGCACTGGCCAACGGAGGAAAGCAACTGACAAACAGATGCTCAGACTATGCGAGCTTAAGGGGCTTCAATGCAGCTCAGAGACCAACGTGGTTTGGAAAAAGGCAAGGATGCAACCGCTGGAAAATTGCCCATTTATAGATGAATGAACCGCATTTACCCATTGAAAATTGAAAATGGGTGATTGTGGATATCTATGTTAAATTACCAGAGGGTAAGCTCTTACTGTAGTGGTATCCTGTATACAATGTGATACTGACAGCTATGCACCATATGGGTGCCATGATGCGCTGCTCCAGGCATGTAAAGTCTGCGACACCAGAGCGATTCGGAAGCTTCAAAAGTTCTGTGCCAAGTGCGGCAAGAAGGATCTCCGGATAATTCCGCAGAGATATTTTCGAGTTGCTACTGCAGTAGCTGTTGCCTAGGCATGTATGTCTAGGATCGATGATGAGAGTCTTGGACTTCCCCAATTATTGATACCCAATTCAGCGGTTGCATGAGCCACTTCAGGATGGTTCCATGAAAGGAATGAACTGGGAGTTCAGTTCTAGATGTTCTAGGGCTGCGGCTTCCCGGTTTGTGAAACATGACCGGCTGATGTCAAAATGTTTGTTGCATCACTGCATTATTGATTGATATTGATGGTTGTTTATCGGATCACTTGCACTCATGTTCACATATGTTTACCCATCGGAAGTATGGATGTTGATTTGCTCATACTTCCGATGGATAAACATCCAGAATGTTCGCTAATAGTTTACTTATGTTCACTAGCAGTTACTGGGATGTTTGCTAAGGTTCACTAATACTGTACATCATTTTAAACTTGATGTTCACTAATAGTGGACGTATAGAATGTATACGCGTGTTGGTCCGTAAACTTCATGAGCATCAATCCTACACTAGATGTAGCTAGGTTTGTTGAAACAAACGCCTACCATTGATATTGATAAACCAATCGTTGTGATGCATATCCATTGATCTACAATGAATGATAACAATATGGAATAACGCATGTTTTATCCACTGACGGCCACATCTTTATATATATACATTTATACGGCACTTCCCCCAAAAGAAAGGTGATTTTACGGTATAGATATGTTCAAAGAAACCCACAAAAGTATACATAAGAAGTAGGGATAATATAGCACCCCCGACAAAAGGCGCACATATTTTAATTGCTCTACATATAGGACCAAACTGTTGGTTCTGTGGGGAGGATCTAGAAAGCATATATGTTCCAAGGCTTACAAAACTATAATTATCATGCTATATCAGCTATGACCGCATGTTGTGTTGATTAATTCCCCATTTGATCTGGTTTGATCTCCGTTTTTATTGGTTAAATTATCCTTTTTCATGGTTAAATGTCATTTTTCTTGGTTAAACCTCCCATGTTTGTTGGATAATTGGCCATGTTCAAACCCATCTAAGAAATCGTCCAGCACCACAGGAGATCGACAAGCACGGCATGGCCACGAAGATTTTGCAGGTTTTTGGTGGTGGTCTCTCTGAAGAAAACATGGGGGACAATCTATGGATTTCATCGGGTTTTAAGGGTGGTTTAATGTGATGTTGTGGTGATCTTATGGGTTTTTTTTATGGGATTTAATGAATGAGATTTAATGGTTATTTGGTTTATGGCATTTACTGGGACAGAACTATAAAACCAAGAATCCGATATCCGAACGCACGGAGCTGGGAATATTTGATATTTGTGTGGGGAATACTCTAAATATCTTGAAAACAATAGAATTTCAAGATTTTAATCCATACATAGATGTCGTTTTCCCATTGCTTGGTTGAAAAAAACATAGTTACATCATGTTTTATATATTCCATTTGTTAATTAAAAGGGATAACTCCACTGAATGTGGATGTTCTAACCAGGTTTATTGGTTTATCATCATTGTAATATGAAAATTGCACCTTTGGTTGGAAAATACATGTTCCCCACGATATCGCACATTTGATGGGCAGTATACATGTGCCATTCTTGTCAGTTTCTGGCAGTTCCTTCCAATTGCAATTTTATCTTGGGTATGATATTGGGGATGATATTGGGTATCTTGGGTATCTTGGGTTTAACTCAGCTTAACTCATTCTGTGATGAATTTTTGAAGATCTTGGAAGTGCATCTAAGGCTTCATTGAGCCTGCTGGGCCAAACAACCCCTTTGGCTCTTGCGAGAGGACGGAGGATTGTTGGGTCAGGCGCTGAGGTGGACACCGCAGAAATGTCATGGGAGATCTGAGAGCTGGACAGTGCTGTGACACGGGGTTTGTTAAAATGGGGGATCCCCAAGTCCATGGGTTTAGCAAAATGCTCCAAAAAATGGGTTTTGGGGCACCACCGTTTTGAGAAACCCCCAGATGATGTCTGTCTATACTGTATATATATATAGAGATATACAGTATACATATGTGATATCCATTGACTATTGGGTTTAGCCACTCAACAAACGGTTGCCGCTTGCAGATGCCCAACACCGAGTGCATCGGAAATGAAGGCAGCAAGGTCTGTTCCTGCAAGGCGTGCGCATGGGTTCGCCAAAAAATGCAGCATATTCCTGGTGGTAAAGTAACGTGTGGAAAATCACCATAGGTAAATCATGGTAAATCATAAATCAACATAAATCATCTATAATTGAAATCATATATCATCTGAGAATCTATAATTGTACCATTTTCAATATTTTTCAATAGCAAGCTCTTTTTTATGACCGGATGGTATATATCATTATGTATCTGCATGCCTCAAAGTGTCTAAATACAAGCTACTAGTAGGAAACATCATCAATGAGTCCATCGGAGTTGCGGGTGTCCCATTTCCTGACAAACCCGTATGCCATGGAAGGCCGGCACTTGCTTCAACCTCGTGAAGAACATCCGGAATTGGAAAGACAACACGGATATGTTCCCGATCTGTCAGGCAAAGACTTTTTGGATTCACATTTCAAATATCATGTCATCTTATTTCATCCAAAAGTGGAACTATCAGATCATCATCTATCATCGGTCTTGGGTATTACATGGTATTATCATAAGTGTCATAAGTGTCATAAGTGTCATATCCAACTTTCATCCTCTGGATATGGACCGCAGAGGCTGAATCAAGCGCTTGGAGAGAGATTGTGGCGGGAATGAAGCGTACGAAGCCCAGAGCGAAGCAAGGATTGTTTTTCAACCACCAATAACAACAACAACATATCACAACTGTCTGTTTGTAGGAGGGCTAGATACCAGTTTAAGTAGAGTTAAGTAGGAATAGCTATCCCAAAAAGAGCTTAGATTCACTGGTCGAGTCCAGACCAATGGTTTTATTCACGCGATGCACATACATTTCAAGCTGAGATTCCTCCAAGAAATGACTTGCAGAGGTAGCTTCTTGATCTATCGCTACACTCTGGGACTGATGGCCAGCCAAATCAAAGCGCTGCCCAAAAATTGATGGCAACCTGTGGTGGCTGACAGGGTCAGTCCATGTATTCCACGTCTGCCTGTTGGCTAAATGCCAGAGGCAAAAATGGCCAAAAAATCGGCATCGCTTCATGGAGTTTCCAGCTGCGACAAAAGGGAAGAACAGTTTTCGGAAAGGGAATCCTCGCGTTGAGATATGGCTTGAGTCAGCCTGTGGCCTCTGAAAAAAACTGTCGATGGGTGTCGTCCCTCAGGATCGACGACACCATCCTTCAGCTGGATCAATATTTGTCAGATGTCTACCACGAGGCCCAGAAGGAGAATCTACGGCTGGTGGTGTCAACTGTGTCAAACCCAAAAGAATATGGGGATTATCACCTTATACCAAGAAATGACTCCAAGAAATGGGGATTATCTTGCTACATCGTACTTGATAATCTATAATTTTCAAGCATTTTTTGGGATGATCATCCCCAATCCTTGATGAGTCGAGTTCGATGCAGTGGTTCACCGACTTTCGACTTTCAGGTGGATTGCACCCGCATTGCTTTGGACCCGCGTTTCAAGAACATGGAGGGCTCCATTGGTGCTCGGCTCATCCATGTTAGTGAAAAAAAAGAAGCCCGGGCCCCAAAAACCGCCCCTTGGGGCCAGCTTCAGGTGCTGTCTACTACAACTTTCCACATGCTGGAGCTGCTTGGGTCAGGCACCTGGCTGCTCTGAACAAAGGTGGTGTTGCAATCAGGCGCAGCTGAGCAGCTGCGATGTTGGCTGAGGTTGATTTACAACCTGGCCAAGGCCATGTCACTGGTTTTTATGCCACTTGTCCCTGTCAGATTGCAGAGAAGATCTCAGTGTATGTGTGTGTGTGTGTCCGCTTCTTTGGTGTGTCATGCGAGCATACGCATTAGATGCTTTCGTGATCATTTAGCCATTTTAGCCCCTTTAGCCTCTTTTGCAATAAAGGTCTTCAAGTCAAGTTGAATTTTATAGGAGCATATAGGAGCCACCCAAGGACAGCCATCCCATCGTCAATTGGCGGCACGAAAACCTCATGCGATTGCTGCTTTGGCGAAAGTTTTGAGATGTTTCGAGTGATGGCAAGGCGATGGATGGCATCCAAAATCCATTGGTTTTATCATGATGTTCCCTATTCCAATGGCCTTCCGGTGGGGGGATCTCATTGAAGAAACCCACCAATTAGTGGTAGTTAGTGGGAAGTTGTTCAACTCAGCAATGGGGAAAACTCAACTTTGATTCATGGCTGCGCAGAAAGCTGCGCATGGCTTTCTCACATATCTAGAACATTCTAGAACCGTGAGGTTCTTTCGGAACCTTCGCTACTTCGTGAAGCCTCGGGGGCTTGTTAAGATTGCCTCAAACATGGGTGCGGTGGGAGTGCGATTCTCCTACATTCTAGGTGCCTTGACCGTGAAAATTTTCGTCGCGTTGATCTCTTGAAGTTTGGGGCTCAACATGAATTAGCACGAGAAACCAGATTTTACCATGCTACTTATTGCTTTAATTATAGCATTCGTTTGAAGGGGGGCCCCCACAAGACGATACCGCGGTACCGTCATTCACCGGAGAATCTGATGGATGATGTGATCCGTTGAGGTCCCAGGCAGGGTCCCAGACATAGTCCACTGGCAATGCACCAAGGTTCTGCGGAGCAGAACGAGTTCCAGCAGCTGCCCAAGTTGAAGACAAAGACTAAATGTTTGATTTACCCTCTGGTAATTTAACATAACTATGGAAAGTCACCATTTTTCATGGGAAAATCTACTATAAATGGTCATTTTCAATAGCTATGTTAAATTACCAGAGGGTACCCTCTATATGGGCCATTTGAATCCATTTGATAGATCATTTACAGCACCTATTAAAATTGAGGTTGTTTCCAGGGCGATGTTAGTCTACCGGAGGGTATGTGTTGATGCGCCAAAGCATTTGCGCGTTACAGCTTTGCATGCGAGAATTGCAGTGAAAGGTGTGTCAACGGTCTTTTTGATCTTTTTGCTGACTTGGCATTCGCTTTCCATTGCTTTGGGAAAATCTGCAGATTATCCATGACATAATATTATATGTATTTCCAACATTTGATGGAACATATTTATTTCATGAAAAAGATCCTTAAGGTATCTAAACGTTGCTTAATTTTCATGAAAACATCCACAATTTAAGGGCTGGCTGTAGAATGCCAAAAATTCCAGGCATGTGGAAACCTTGCCATTCTTGGAGTGGTCGCGCCTTGGAGTTTTGTGGGACTGGAGGTGAATCCAAGATGAGCCGAGTATGTGATACCCTCTGGTTATGACTAACATAGCGAACTGGAAAGATCCACCATGCTATCAATGATTTTCAATAGCTTTTTGTTACATTACCAGAGGGTATATTTGTAGACATATTTGTGTTTATGATGATGGGTGGATGGATGGATGGATGGATGGATGGATGGATGGATGGATGGATGGCTAGATAAATGGACAACTTGATAAATGGATAGATGGATAGGTTGATAGATTTTCCACGGTAATGATATGTCAATTACCCTCTGGTTATTTAACATAGCCGTGGAAAATCATCATTCTTAATAGGTAAACTGGTAAACCATCTATAAATGGACCATGTTCCATGGCTATGTGAAATAACCAGATGGTATATGAGTAATTTAACATAGCTATTGAAAATTGCCATAGACATAGTGAGTTTTCCCTTTAAAAAATGGTGGATCTTTCCATAGTTATGTTAGTTTGCCAGAGGGTAATCATCTGACTCAATGGATTGATTTAAGGGAACATTTACAGGAAACCATAGATGTTCCCCTTAAATATGGGGCTTTCCCCTAGGCTCCACCGCTATGGTCGCGCATATGGTGACCGGCGAGACAAGAAGAAGCGACCTGGAGACGGACAAGGACGATCTAAAAAATGGGGGCGTTCCATGGGATTTAGCCTCCGGTAAACTTTCACAAAAAACTATGGAAAGATCCACCATGCTATCAATGGGTAAATCATGGTAAATCCACTATTTCTATGGCCATTTTTAATAGCAAACTGTTAGTCATTACCAGAGGGTAACACAGTTAACCATAGTTAACCAGACAAGGATCGACAACAGTGATCTCGACCAGCGAGGATTTGAGTCTCAGAAATGGGGATTTTCCATATGTTCCATGGGGTTCAACGTATTTGAAATGGCAAGTCAAGAGGGTGATTTAACTCTATTTTTTTTCAAGGCGGCCACTTCATAGCAAGACAAATGAAAGAATAAGAATAGCGAAACATTGCAATTTCAGGGGTATGACGATAAAATATGATAAACATTGAGAAACCATGGGATGAAAAGTAAGGTCCAAATTTTGAGATAATCCATGATAATCCCTTTTTGCGACCTCGCAACGGCTTTTGACAAATCCTCCATCTTTCTGGAAAACCTCCGAACTGCCGCAGGCTACAATGCGCAAAAAGCTGAATCTGACATGGTCTACACCTTCGAGTTTCACCCTCAGGTTTTTGCAAACTGGCACGGCGTCTACAAATGGGGCATACCCGAAATATCCATGAATCTCGTGCAACTCATGTCGATTTTACATGGGGTTTACCTGCTGATGCACCGCAGGTACCGGCCCTCTGGAAAGGATTTACCACCACAGGAGATCAAGTTGCCACCCACGTTCCAAACGATCATAGGCACGTGTTGCATCTGTTTTTTTTCGATCCAGTGAGGTTGGAAATGTCTCCTGATTTCCCCGCAGTTGGTACATGGTCATTTGTTGGAAAAATAGAGGTAAACATTGGTAAATCTGAGGAATCTGGATGGCTTTTAAATGCTTTCTTAATTTTTTTTCAAGAAATCACATTTGAAAATCACTGGCCATAAATGAGGTGAGAAAATTACCCCATTTTCAGACACCCATCCGATGTGGTGCAAGATGGTGCAAGGCTGCAATGATGGTCCTTTCAAGAACTTGGACCACAATTCCAGCATGGCGCTCGCCAGGCTCAACATTGGAGATGGGATCAAAAGATGGAGAAAAAAAACCGTCAGTTCGATGGATAAATTGAATTTAAGTGGTCTTTTAGGGTTTGATGATTTAGTCCTTGTACATCTTTTCACAGTTTGAGACCCTTGACATGTTTCAAGTTTTTTCAAAACCTTCCTATTTCCAATTATTTCCATATATTTCCATCGCTCATTTGCTACCTCAATTTTGACAAGGCAGCTGCACGAGCGTTTCATCAAGGAAGTGTCAGGCACACACGTGGGTTAAGCAGCTGGCCTGCATTGGACAACGCTTTGTGGCGATTTTGTTTGGAACCGGATGTCCCATGATAACTTTAACCCATAGGAATTCGATTTTCAGACAAAACCATATTGAAGCATATTGAAGCAATTTCGCAGAAATCTTGGCTCTGCTCTGACTTTCCATGGTTTTCCGTTGTAGAATGGTAAGTTGTTCCATGAATGTTTGTACCAGTTCTTCCACAGCTCAGCCCGCGGCGGGAGCTAAGTTGCTCAGGTTTGCCATTGCCGAGACTGAGCCAGCATGGATTTGTTCGTGCGTAAAAGGTTTTTGCAGCAAGTACATGGGGGGGGGGCAGGGCGGTCACAAAAAACATCACCGGTTCAATGACCGTCTCAGACTCAACGTATGGACCTATGGCTCAAGCTCCCACAGGAAAGCCGTTGACAAAGAGTAGTTCGATTCTTGCAAGAGCAGAGGATGGCAGATCAATTGATTCTGGCTCGATTTGTTGATTAGACTTTTTGTGTTTCCCATACATCAACTCCAATATCTTTTGAACACATCACAGTGAAGCAGGTGAAACTGAGTTTCAGCTGAGTCTGAGGACAGAGGAGCAGATCGCTGAATTCCAAGAAGCATTCCAATTGTTTGCTGGCGATGAACTGGAAGATCTGACGGAAGAACAGATCGAAGAACTGCGGGAGTGGCAGGACATTGGATCCATGCACCATTTGTCTGGATTCTTTCTCTACAGCCTTTTTTTTGGGGGTTGAAACTCATGTTGTTTGTTGCTATTTAATCCATTTTAACATATTTTAATATATTTTAGCTATGCCAAGTGACATGAATTTGGATTTTTTGACCCACCCTGTGAGGCGCACTGCGACGAGCTCCGTTCTGAATGGAACGAAGAAGATTCGCTCATGCAGCATCTGCGGCAGTTGCATGGCACTGGAGCAAGACTCTTGGGAGAGGCCGAGGACGCGATGGCACGATGGATCCCAGACATCCCCAAACAAGTGCCATGGTTTTCTTGGAGATCCAATGATACACAATTAAACAATGCGAACATTCACCATATCATCCATACTAGTATCATCCACATCATCCATATCATCCATATATATATTATATATATAATCCATGATTCATTCTGAAAATGCCAATTCAATGCAGTGCATTGTTTGATCCATGGCACACGCTGAACTGCCAGGACGGCCCAATCATTGCTCCCTTGACCTCCATTGAGGTGGAACTTGAGGTGTGGGATGGTTTTTTTTTATCCAGTGGTTTTCATGGAGGGTTTTCGATTTTTTGGGATTTTGGGGGCATCCATACGCCACAAAAATTGCCATCATTCATAGAATTGGATGATGGGAAAATTTACAGGAAAACCCTATATTTGATGGTAAAAACCATGGTTTCCTGTAGATTTTCCCTTAAACCAATCCTTTGAATAATATTCCCAATTATTCTATGATCATCAGATCCCTATTCAATTCTAACTGGGAGCTACGAATTGAGAGCTACGAATTGAGGGAAACCCGTTTCCATGGTGAAAATGTTCGGGTACCGCAAATTTCAATGGGATTCTCATCACTATGGAAAAAAAAACCATCAAAATGGGGATTTGGAGGGTGTATATCATATATATGATATATGTGTATCATATGGGATAGTGGGGTTCTAAAGTCCACTGGATTATCATGTTAGTGTTCTAAAATCTAGTGACTATAGTGGTTTATGAAGGGTCATCATCATTTTCCCCATGAAAGTTGCCATTAATGCCTCAAAATTACAATTTGCATGGGAGAGATTATTGTAAACAATGGGATTGAATGCAGTTCTTGAGTTTGCTGTATTATATAATTTTCAAATATGTTCAAGGGTTATATTATAGATTATTATAGCCTGATAGCATATATAATCCCATGCCCCATTCATATACCCCCATTCTATCGTCCCAGTTGTGATTTCATCCTCCACATCCACCATGGCTCCGGTGCAGGTCCTCGATATCGCTGTGCTGGCACGATTTACTCAGTGCTTTGTGAATCCCACAGACGTCACTGAGTCAAGATTAAGCACTATTCAATGGATTGGTTTAAGGGAAAATTTACAGGAAAGCCCCATATTTAATGGGAAAATCTATGGTTTCCGGTTAAGATTTTCCCTTAAACCAATCCATTGAACTATGGATAGTGGTATGACCATGACCGGTATGACCATGCCACAATATGGATATTGAATGATAGGGGTCAAATGGGGTCAATTTTTCGGATCAATTTTTGGGCTCAATGTCGCCAATTGTCAGGGGTAACCTCTTATATCTCTTATGAAGATGGCCTTTTTTAGCCCACTGGTAATCAAGCATGGCTAGCTTGGAATACCCTCTGGTAATTTAACATAGCTATGGAAAATCACCACTTTTAATGGGTAAATCCACTATAAATGGCAATTTTCAATAGCTATGTTAGTTTACCAGAGGGTAAGTCATGATCTAATGACTTGGATGACTTGAAAAATACCGCATTTGAGGAGTTGCTAGATGTGACCTATGCCTTCCCGGTGCTCCCGAGTGCGAGCGTCACGCATTTGGATGCTCAAATCGGCGAGCGGGTAATTGTGCCTTAGCTGTTTCAGTGTCAGCAGATCTGGGTCAACCTTGTGTTTGATGGGTTAGTTGTCGCTGTTTTTTGCCACTGCAAAATGCGGGAGATCAAGCTAGTCACTAGGCCAAACAACATGTTATTTGCATGGTATCTCAGATCAGCAACCGTGAGATGTCCCCTTGAAAGCACCTTTAGTACCTATTGGAATCGCAGCAAGAGCTGCTAATCATGAGCAGAACTGCAACCAGTACTTGGGTTTGTCTAGGACAATCTAGGACACCTCAAACTCCGGTGGTTTATCACACACAATACATTCCCAAATCATGTGTGATCCTTATTTTCCCAAATGAAATTGCCACTTTGGGCTGGTAACTGGCAACCACCATTTTCATCCATTTTGGACGAGACCAAAAAGTTTGGTTTAAGATCTAGTTCGGTGCATTTCGAGTGGGATGCCTTTTTTTGGGCCCATTTTTTTTTTTTCCCGCAGACAGGTGAGACGAGTTGTTGAAAAGCAAGCGGCTCGCGCGCAGTTCCAGGAAGCCCGGACGGAGAGAAAGGCTGGGCCCCTGTGATCCCCTGGCCCCTGTGATCCCCTGGGCCCCTGGGCCGTTCTGTGAGATGTTAAGGGATCATCGGTCTGGAGTCATTTTATGACTTCCCCCAATGGTTTGTGAATGTTCAATAGCTATTTTGACAGAACCAGAGGGTATATCATGGTATATCCACTAACATCCCTGTTTTTTGGTTCATTGAACCCCTATAATGAATGAGTGAAGGACAGTCATACAAACCATGACGAAAAATTGATACCCCTAATTTTGGGTCCATTTGGGCCCCATGTTTGATCCATATATATATATATAGATCATACAGTACTCATCAGTTCAAGTGGCGTACCACAAAACATCCTCCACATGTGTGGTCATAGAGTATAAAAATATCATTTGCCATGACTGTCCCATGATTTTCCCCATGGATTTCACCATGGATTTTCCGCAAAAAATTCTCAAAAGGCCGCCGCCCTCTTGGAGAAAGCTGCGGGAGATCTGATGCGCCTGAAGCTGGGGCAAGTGGATCCCGGAGAGACCGTGCTGGTCCGCCTGGACATGACGATGGAGCTGCAGAATCAGAGTGGATCCTTGGCGAAGATCGAAGAAGGGCAGTCGATCCAGTGGATCTTCCTGGTTCTGAAAAACGTAACTTCCTGTGGAAAATCAACATGTTTAAAAGGTACCCTCTGGTAATTTAACATAGCTATTGAAAATCACCATTTTTAATGGGAAAATCCACTATTAATGGTCATTTTCAATAGCTACGTTAAATTACCAGAGGGTAAATCATCATGTTTATCACATTTTATCACCATCTATAAACGGACCATGATGTTCATATATCAGTTTATGATAGTTTATGCCATAGCTTAACCACAATACAAAACATATAGAACAACAAAACAAGGATAATACGAAGAACAAACATGATTTGAATCAATAGTGTCCAATCAGTACCCACAATTGCTAACTCCAAGTATCCCCATTAGATCCCCATTAGAAGTTCATTAGATCCCCATTATATCCCCATGTTCATGTCCCCATTTTCAGATCATGATACTCACAGATTGCCCAAAGGGCGCCAAACAGCTCTTCCGAGATGGTCAATTCCGTGTGGCTCTGCCAATGATTGTTGATCCGCGCTATCCGTTGCGACCCGATGTTTGGACTACCGAAGCAATGGAGGACACGTCGTCATTTCATGTCATTTCTGCTGATCGGAACGATTTTTGAAGACGGGAAGATGGGAAGATACTGAAAGATGCTGAGCTTCATTGAATGCGTCAGCAGTTGTTCAACATAAGGCTCATAAAGCCATCAAACACCCTCAAACAACCATCAAAGAAGCATCACACCAAACAACTCCAAAGAACCATCAAAAAAGCATTAAACACTCATCAAACAAGTATCGAAAAAGCATCAAAACCACCGAACAACCAAAAAACAATCAACTAAAGCACCAAAAACCATCAAAAGCCACCGAAAACATCAAGGAAGCATCAAAAAAGTAAAAACGGTTCAAAAAACCATCAAAAAACCATCACAATACCATCACAGACCACCAAAACATCAAAGACCCATCCAAAAAACCATCACCAAAATTGCCAAAAGAACCATCACAAATCACCAACAAACCATTTCACAAAAATCACCAGTCAGGACCTCACGAAACTCGCAGGAGTCTGCAGCCACGCAAGAAGCATCACAGGGTCCTGGCACGGGAAGCTTCAGCTTCACTGCTCAGGCGCACGAAAGTTGTTGATGGTCTACCATGGGGATCCTTTGTGTTCCAATATAACCAATGGTGCTTAGCATATAGTGGATGTTAGTGGATATTAACCAATAGTGAATGGTGTTCCAATATAACCAATGTTGGTGTTCCAATATAACATCTATTCCAATATAACCAATGTTGAATGGTGGATGTTAGTGGTGTTTTCCAATAGTGAATAGTGGATGTTTAATATTGTTTAATGGTGCTTGTTTGTTTGATGAAATTTTCGAAAAACAATGATCAAAGCAAGCACTTCTAATGCGGATTTAACCACGAAATTATGGGCGCAAATGTGGGGAAACCTTGTTGAAGGGTGGTTTAATACTTTGAGATATTTTGCCACAAGTGAGGATCTACATATATGATATATACTAACCATGCTAAACTAAATACTAAATACAGGGTATCTTAGATTGGCCATGGCGATATTTCCAGTACTACAGCTGCGAACTGGTCCTGAATGGTTGGCGGCGGACCAAGCTTCATCGGCTCATGACTTGCAAACTTCATTCAAAAGAAAGGTGATACAAAAAACACGTCGAGCCCATCAGTAGACTTCCAAAACAATGCGTAGATGATGTTCCATGAGTTTCCATGAGTTTCCCATAACAGTTTCCCCATGACGAATGACGAAAATTCACCGCTTCATGTGGTCTCCCCTTGGGCCAGGTGCAGATGCCAAGCCCGGTGTTGCGGATCTGCAGTCCCAGTCACCCCGAGATGGCGTGTCACCTGGATGGATCACAGGCTCGGCTGGTGATTTTCAGGGCAGTTTCGGCTGGGGAGTCATGATGACATTTCGAGATTTTTAGAATTTTGTTAAGGGATCATGTTTTTTTTCGTTTTTTTTTGGGGAGAGGAACATGTGTTTCGATTTGTTTCCTGTTTTTTTTTTGAGATTTTGGAGGATTTCCCAGTAAACCATCCTTTTTTTGGGGGGGAATTCATCATTAGACCACCCAGCAATTCATTTTTTGAGGGATAGTTGCCCAGTATAGACATTAAAACTAAACCATTTTTTTTTTGGGCGGGTCAGGATTCGAGTCCAAACATGTCCAAACCCAAATCACTCACCCCATGGGATTCCAAGCCAATAGATCCACTAGCAATCAAGATTGGGAGGCATATTCTTAGCAAGGCGGTTATGAAAAACAGTTGCATCATCTCCTGATTTTTTCTGGTTACTGCTTATTTTTATTCACTTAAACCGTGAAAGCCTCCATTTTGTTGTTAATTCATGTTAATTCAATCTCCAGAAATCCCAAGAATTTCCTGATGATTCTCAGCCCCAATGGTGAATCAAAATCCCCCTTGTGAATAGGGAAAATGATGATCAACCACTCCATTTTTTCCAGGTTTTTCCCATGATGTTCACCCAACAAGTAGAGTCAAAAATCAATAAATCAGCAAACAAATCCATCAAAATCCATCAAAATCGGTCAAAATCCATCAAAAACCATCAAAAACCATCAAAAAACAATAAACAAAACAATAAAAACACATCAAACACCATCAAAAACCATTAAAAAAAAACATCAAAAACATCAAAAACCATAAAAAAAACAATCAAAAACCATCAAAAACCATAAAAACCATCAAACACCATCAAAAACAAAAAAAACAATAAACAAAACAATAAAAAAACATCAAAAACCATCAAAAAAACATCAAAAACATCAAAAACCATCAAAAACCATAAAAAAACATCAAAAACTCCATTTAAAAAAACACCATCTCCTGCCACTGACCCAGGCCTTTGCCTCCCTAGCCCTCACCACAATGCCCCAGCGCGAACTCGTCCTTTCGATCAACATCTCGAAGCCGCTGGAGCAGCGCTGTTGGATGCAAGAGATGGCCGAGGCCAGGTGATTCTATCCTTACCAGGTGGTTTATGGTGATAGTTGACAGCAACACCATCAGAGACACCATGATTAATCAATGGATGATGGCCTTTACATTTACACACATTTACACACATGGGTAAACTTACAATCATTGATTCTACACCTTGATGTTTATTAATGGCTAGTGAATGGGTATTAATTGTGGTTAATGGCTAGTGAATGGGTATTACGCATCATCACATTTCAGTGGCCCCTTCCCGGGGGTACAGGGATCGTAGCATACCATGCCAAGTGGATTGCCATCCGTTGAATCGTCCAGCGAAACGCCCAAACTATCTCGAATCATATATCGTACCTATGGCATATATGGTTTAATCAGTTTATATCAGTTTAATCACAATTTTTGATAGATAAATCATCTAGAAATGGACCCTGTTTTCTACACTTAAATTACCAGAGGGTAAACTATCGCAAATTGTTGAGATGTCCAAACTTAATTTCACCCATTTGGCAACCTCCAGGATACCGGTTTGCTGTACGCCGTGCTCTATCCAGAGGACTCAACTTGCTGCTTTGATGGCCCGAAATTTTTGCTGTATTCTATCACCAGGTTGTCTCCTCATCAAGTATATATATATATATATTACATTATATTATACACATCATTTAAATTCATTGATTTCTCCATTCGACTGGTTTTATCCCGCATGTTTGTTGTTCAAATCCCCCAAAATATGTTGGTCGAACGGTCAAACCGATACGGCGCTTGGCCAGGAGAAGGCGTTGCAGCACCTTTGGCCGTCCGAGGATCTTCCGAAGGAGAAATCATGGCGACTGGTTGGATGTTCAATGGACATTTCAGGGACGTGGAGCTACTGTAAAATGTAAAACAACATATTTTGGTGGGTACCCTCTGGTAAACTAACATAGCTGTTGAAAATGGTTGTTTATAGTTGATTTACACATTTAAAAAATGTGATTTTTCCAGTTCGCTATGTAAACGTTTACCAAAGGGTATATTCCATTACATAGCCTTTACATAGACCGACAAAAATGTGGTAGGTAGCTCTCAAGTAGCTTCCCGAAATGGCCACGTAATATTAATATATATTAATATGTTTGTTGGACGTTTTGAATAGGGATACTGAAATATGACAGGAATATGACAGGATATTTAGGAATATGACAGGAATATGACTTGTGAATAGGGATACTAAAATGTAACTTGGGATTTATCACACTTACACTTGGGACGTATCACATTATTACCATCTCTCAGAATGAGGGATGGCCCCCGTTTCATCTCCCATGGCGAAAGTGATGATCATGATCAGCCGTGGGACAGTGAATGGTTCCAAGATGCTCCAAGTTTCGAGAAAAATCCATGCGGCATTTTTGGAGATATGTTTGAATCGGATTGGTTTAAGAGAACATTTACAGCAAAACCCTATATTTTTTGGGTCAAAACATGGAAAAACAAAAAACCAATGGTTTCCGGACAAGATTTTCCCTTCAACCGATCCAAGGAATGTTCAACAGGCACCATGACCTCATGGATGTCCTAATGATTGGTAACTAGAGGGGTTGGTTTCGCGCTGTACAATCGGGCGCCTCCGGTCATCAGATTCGACCATCCTCCAATCAAACATGGCTGAGAAAACCCCCTGGCCGAAATGGGCATGGTAATCACATCTGCAAATGGCGGACTTCCCAGAGTTTTTTTTCATATTTTTTGGGTCCAGACAGCGGCCCCTCATAGAATTGGATGATGGGAAAATTTACAGGAAACCTTTATATTTGATGGTAAAAACCATGGTTTCCTGTAGATTTTCCCTTAAACCAATCCATTGAGCCCCTGAATTTTGCACCTGGGTTCTGCCAGGAGTTCATTTTTCTGTTGGATCGATCTGGATCGATGCAGGCGCTTGGCACACGGGTCTGCGAGAGTACCAGAGAAAAGTGCCCCTTTTGAAGGGTTTCTGGTTGGTGGTTTGGAACATTTTTTTTCCCATATATTGGGAATAATCATCCGAACTCATATTTTTCAGAGGGGTTGAAACCACCAATTAAGTTCTGCAGCGTGCTGCGCCAGGGTTCGGCAATCTCAGCAGCACAATCTGCTTTGCAGCTCTTTCTCAGGACGTGGGATGCGCGGTGTGCGTGTTGCCATTTTGGTGAAATTTATGGAAACATTACCATGGAATACCATGGATACCCTCTGGTAAACTAACTGATGCAATCACAGCGCCAGGAGCCTACCCCTTGGATGTCTCTTTGACATCGTTGGTTTTGGCTCGACATGGAGGACTGGATGCCGGATGATGCCGGGTATTTGGGCGTGTCTGACAATTTAAGGGAAAACCCCAAATCCCATGGTTTACGGTTTACCATCATTTTCCCCAGTCAATGGCTATAGTTGGGGAGTTTGACCCGTTTCTTTGGAGTGGAAAGCGATATTTTTCAAAAAAAATGTTGGAGATGAAGATCCAAAAGTATCATAACTATCCAGAACATTCCATAATGGGACTTATATGGGACTATATGGAACTATCATCATACATTCCATAACTACCATAACTATAGGAAGATTCGAAAGCATCACTTTCTACTTAGTCACAGAATGTCACAGATGTGTCACCAGGGCAGCCAGGGCGGCCCGGTCCACTGATCGTGACCCAGATCGACGCCAGGTCGTTGTTTGAGGCCAGTGTGGCCTACGACGAGAAATCCCTCAACAAGGAGAGCGACCCCGACCTCACCATGATGTTCACTTAAATGGGTTTGTTTGAAAATCAGGGAGGTGCAAAAAAAAACACTTTCCGAGTTTGGGGTGGTATTCCCATTTTTTTGGCAAACCCAAAATGTCTTCAAATGTTTGTTCCTGATTCTTTAGCAAGTCTTGGCAGGCCAGCAAACATGTGAAGTTTGTCCAAGCAGACATGGGAGGACAAGATCTCAGCTTTGACGATCAGTATTGAAGCTGTGGTGTAAGATTACTTGTGACTACTTGTGCGGGTTGGCCAGTCGTGCAATGTTGTGCAAAGCCCTTTAGTCTCAGATGTTTTGAAATCCAATGACATCTCAAAAGATGTGGACCTGATTGGACGGACCAGGCCCTGAGGCATTTCCATGATGTTTCCAAGGGTTTTCCAGTAGTTTTCCATAGGTACTGAGCTGCTTCAGCCCCTGAAGCATGTTCGAGAACGTGTTGTACCCGCTGGCTACCAACGTCGAGTAATATTGTGCTGCGGCCGCATTGGGATTTCTTGTGATTTCGTGGGATCAAAAGGACACGAGGCTTTCAGTGTTTGTTGAGTCTGAGTATCTCCGCAGTCGCAGCAAATTCATTTCACTCCACAAAATGTGTCATTTTTGCCTCCCCTATCACCTACCATGTGTGTTTTTTGAGTCCCAAAAAAAACACCTGAACTTTGTTGGTCCACGATCCTCGCTGATGGTTATCCTTTGGAAGCCCAGGCTTACGGATGGCCAAGTCTCAAACACCCAAGAAGTGATGAAGTTGGTAGCATCTTTGCCCAGCCATACGGAGGTCTACACTGTCTGGAACTCAGTCCTCAGTTTGAGCCAGTTCCATGCATCGATACATAGCTTTCTGCATAGATTTCTGCAATTTTTCTATGGTATAAACCATCAATGGTTGGTTTAATAGGATGGTTAATCTATCGTATGAAGGCCTTCATATTTTGGATGTCAGATATGGACAAATTGGACGGATCCACGGGAACTGAAACCGCAGAAAATCGGCCATTTTGAAGCACCCTTTGAATTTTGAAGTTTGATCCATCAATGGATCCATCAATGAATTAAATCACTGTTGGCATACGAAAAGATGATCAAATTCACAGCTTGGCCAACAGCTAAGGTGGGTTTTGGAGGAGGTGTTTCCCACGCGTTGGTTGAAGGCATTGCCGAGAATGGCCGTGGTGCAGCGGATTTTGTGCTGGGGGCAGCAGAATTAGAACCGACGCTTGGAGATGTTTATGTTAGCCCCTACTAAGTTTACTAATTTGGTGATGATGTCCATTTTTCCACTTCGGGGACGACTATAACTTTGAATGTGGAAACAACTGGGATGCGAGAAGTCATGTTTCACGCGCACAAACAAAGGACAGTCATCCGGCAGCTGACAAGAGCCATGCGACCTGACTGCAAAGATGTCAACAAGTTAAGTGTTGAAAGGGATGAACAACTTGAAGTTAATTTGTGTTTCTTTCCAGCATTCGTTTAGAGTTATTCCATCCCATTAAGAATATTGGGATGTCAAACTGGTTTTCCTGTGTTTTGTTTGGACGATGAAACAAAATGATTATGATTTCGAACACATAAAACCGTATCAAGACATGTAACGTATAAAGCATATAAACCTAATGCATCCTAATGCCATAAACAAGTAACTGGCATTTGGGGATAGTTTATACAACCCACCCATAGAAATGGTACTTAATGGTGATCTTGGGGATGGTTTATTATTAGATTTACATAGATTTACCACATTTAAAGCCATAAAAAACAATGTTTGGTGGTGAATCAAATAAAAAAATAAGCCATTGGATTTCTGGCCTGGTTGATTTTTAAAGTGTTTAAAGCCATAAAAACATCCAAAACCCACCAACCAAATCAGCGTGGACTCAGGCGTGGATGTCCTCCAAGGCTCACGCAGGCGCCGGGTACAGTGATAGAGTATACATTGTCTCACTGGATATTCAAGAATAACTAATTCATATCCATGTCATATATATATATAAATAAATATCCATGTATATAACTAATTACATAGTTACTATATATAAATATAAACTATATTAATAATAAACTACATAGTAAGTATATTAATAAGTATATAGATATGAGATGATGGAAGCACCTACAAAATAAGTACATTGTTACATAGCAAGATCCATTGGACTCAGGTGGAGTGGTCCGGCCGGCTGGAAGAAGTCTCCCCCAGTGCTCTGGCTCCACGTGGCCGAGGCCAGGCGTGGCTAAACCCTCCGAGAAAACAGGCGTTTTCCATCAAGAAATCGGAATTTCTATTGGGAAAAAATTGCTAATTGATGATATCTAGAATGGAATTGAAGTTGATATTTCTATTACCCACATAGATTCTTATGGAGATTTGAGAAAAATATAGAAAAATTGGGAACTATAGTCCTCAGTTGTGGCCATTTGTACCGGGAAAATGGCGCTGAAGAGCGGACCTTTCGGCGATGTTCGTCTCCAGGACCCCACCAATCGGGACGTGCGACAGCCGGGAGAGCACGACTGGGTGTGCCATGCTGTGGGCAGCGGGTTGTGCTGGCAGCGGTGGTCAAAGGTGGTCAAGGCCTAGGCGTGGAAGGGGGCGGGGGTCGACTTATTTCGTTTTGATGTTTGTTAAGCCACCCAGTGTTTTGAGTACATACACCCATTGCATACCCAAACCCTTGTCCACTGAATCCTTTGACCCTTGAATGTAATTGTTATTGTTTGTTCGCTTCAATACTGATTAGACATTATGTCGAAACACTCAATAGGTGGGTGTCTATTGAAGATTGCACGATCTGAAACAGTACTAAGTTAAAAGGCCTTAGATGCCTGACTTTCGATGTTCCAGAGGAACAGCAGGGTTTCGTTGGTGAAGACAGAGAAGAACAGTGTGCAATCAACATGGACCAAGACTGAGCCACGCACACTGCCATAAAGTGCCTAGGCACTTTAAGCAACCAAAGCCTGTTGACGGGTGGGGAGGCACTACTTCTCGCCCAGACAGGCTTAGTGTGATTGGAGCAGCAATATACGGTTCAGGGCACGCCATGCTAGGGTCGAGTCGACCACTAGCACATTTTTGCCCACCGGCTAGATCTTATGCCTGTTGGCAGAGATAATTGGGGTTTATGCAGGGTGGCTCTTGTACAGTGCGCACTTATGCCCCCATACAAAGTCGATCCGTATTTGCTGCTGCACAGAAATTGGCCTGTAAAGTTTGCAGGTAAGCTGGACAGATTCTGCTGTGGAGAATATGCTGAGGCCATTCTTGTTCGGTCAGCAACACGAAGTCAGTGACTTTATGCTGAGCCACTCCCGAATGGGTCTTTGATATCATCCAAGCGCTGTGATGATTGTTTGCTGTCGGCATTTCGGTGGCAAGCAGTTCAGCGCTACTCCGCCATGTGGTACGTGGCGGGCGGCGAGCAAAGCCATGCGAACTTAAAAAGCGCCAGCAGTTCGATTTGATCTCCAACGACTGCGCAGTCCCTGCGGGGCTCGCTGGTCTGCTACAAGTTTAGTGGCACTGATGAGCTTTAAATAAGCGAAACCAGCGGGCTTTTTGATGGCGTGATTTTTTTTAAGACAAAAGCCTTTCTTTTCAATAAATAAAGATGTTACCATCCTAACCCAAAGTCTACAAATTTGCAGTACTTTGATGAAAAGATCGTCTTTTGAACATATTTCATAAAAAGTTCGTCTTTTTGCCAAAAGTTCGTCTTTTTTTTGAAAATTGCTGAAAACCTCATGTTTCCATGGTTTTGGAAGGGATCTTAAAAGGTATACCTGGATAATTTTGATGTTTATCCTGATGCATTCTTATTTTCCACGCCATTTTGTATCTATTATGTGTCCTCATCTTTAATTAGTCCCATCTATGATGTCCACAACACTACAGTATAGTGCCAGGAAACGAGGAAACAGCCCCAGCGATCAGTCATTACAACTTTCATCGTGTTCATGGTGCCCAGATAGCTGTATTTCTGGGACTCGTAGAAAACCCGTACTAACCCGTAGAAAACCCGTAGAATCCCGTAGTGCAATTCGAAAAGATCGTTTTTTCAAACGTTTTGGAAAAAATCGACTTTTGCTAACCCGTAGAAAACCCGTATTTTAGCCGTGGAAACCCGTAAAAACCCGTCCGAAAAATATGGGTTTTTAATAGTTTTTAGGGGGCCTGGCATAATGTGCTTCCGGTAAGTTTTCAGGCCTTCTTAGCATGTCTCATAGCTTCAAATTCGATGGTCGCAATTGATGAAACATTTATGAAATTTTATGATTATGTGCAGGTAAAACAAAGAAGTGGATTGTATCCTGTCAAAATGCCGTAAATATCTAATCCAGGATGTTCACAGCATTTTGATGGTATGTTGGTATATTTGGCACAGTCTTGGAAATAGCTGATTCCAAAAGTTCGATTTTTTTTTGGGAAAAGATCGATTTTTCCTAGGTGTCTGCGATTTCAAGGGTTTTGGGATCCCATGGTATATTTTAAGCTCAATCTGAATTTTTAAAAACTGCTATAAGATCATTCGCATAAGTGTTTCTATGCTGGTGCGTTAATCCAGTTCTTATAAAGAATAGCTATTAAAGCAGGTGTCATAAATCTTTTGATTGAGTGAAACAAAAAAAATAATAAAAAGTAGTGGAATTGGCAATGAATAACGTGAGTGATATAGATTCGTTTCTTGGTCTATCTGAAGAGCAATTGCAAACCCTGGATATATTAAATGTACCAGGCGATGAAACCGTAAATTTGGCTAAATTGTTTAAACGCAACGATAGCAGATATAAAAAAAATATATCGAAAATTTGAAACGGTGTCATCGTTTAGTCGACCTCAATTTATCCGGACAAGAGCTTGAATCAATACCCCAGGGGGTGTTTTCCCAGCTTAGGCAACTTAGAGCATTGGATCTTTCTGAAAATGAGCTGTCGCACTTGCCAGATGATTTTAGTGCATTGGCGAAGACGTTAAAGGACTTAGATTTGGAGGATAATTAATTAGAAATCTTGCCTAATTTAAGCGAATTTAAGAATATAAAACAGCTCGATTGCAGTGGCAATATCACCTTGGACAGCTTGCCCGATCTGCCCCCCTTCGGTAGGTTTGATATTGACTTGGATAGAAAACAAAGGTTTTTGTTTGTTGATGAGAATTAAAAGACCAAGTTCCAGAGCATTTAAAGCCTATAATGAGCTATGAAAGCACTAGATATTTCCCCACATTGACGTGTGGTTTTTTGTTTTTAGTTCTGTATCCGCCTTCCTCCTCCTCCTCCTCCGCCTCCGCCTCCCGTCCTCCTCTCTCACAACACTCACTCACTCACTCCCTCCCTCGCTCCCTCGCTCGCTCGCTCACTCGCTCGCTCACTCACTCACTCACTCACTTCATTCTTTTGCGTGGCAGGCGTGGGACAATGTGCACTGTCAAGGGGTCGGATGTACGCCCCGGGGTTCCGCTGGCGTCCCTGGGTCTCCGCCTCTTTTGCGTGGCAAGCGTGGGACAATGTGCACTGCCAAGGGGTCGGATGTACGCCCCGGGGTTCCGCTGGCGTCCCTGGGTCTCCGCCTCTTTTGCGTGGCAGGCGTGGACAATGTGCACTGCCAAGGGGTCGGATGTACGCCCCGGGGTTCCGCTGGGGTCCCTGGGTCTCCGCTTCTTTTGCGTGGCAGGTGTGGGACAATGTGCACTGCCAAGGGGTCGGATGTACGCCCCGGGGTTCCGCTGGCGTCCCTGGGTCTCCGCCTTTTTTGCGTGCACTCACTCACTCACTCACTCACTCACTCACTCACTCACTCCTCGTCAGCTCACCCCGACCGCACCCACACCGACATCACTCACTCACTCACTCACTCTTTCTTTTGCGTGGCAGGCGTGGGACAATGTGCACTGCCAAGGGGTCGGATGTACGCCCCCGGGTTCCGCTGGCGTCCCTGGGTCTCCGTCTCTTTTGCGTGGGAGGCGTGGGACAATGTGCACTGCCAAGGGGTCGGATGTACGCCCCGGGGTTCCGCTGGCGTCCCTGGGTCTCCGCCTCTTTTGCGTGGCAGGCGGGGTCGGATGTACGCCCCGGGGTTCCGCTGGCGTCCCTGGGTCTCCGCCTCTTTTGCGTGGCAGGCGTGGGACAATGTGCACTGCCAAGGGGTCGGATGTACGCCCCGGGGTTCCGCTGGCGTCCCTGGGTCTCCGCCTCTTTTGCGTGGCAGGCGTGGTCCTCCTCCTCACTCACCTCACTCACTGAGTCACATACACACACACACACTGTGGCACAGACACACACTCACTCACTCACTCACTCACACACACACTCACTCACACACTCACTCACCTCACTCACTCACTCACTAACTCACTCACTCACACACACACACACTCACTCACTCACTCACTCACTCACTCACTCACTCACTCACTCACTCACTCACTCACTCACTCACTCACACACACACTCACTCACACACACACACACTCACTCTCTCACTCTCTCACTCACTCACTCACTCACTCACTCACTCACTCACTCACTCACTCACTCACTCACTCACTCACTCACTCACTCACTCACTCACTCCAAATCAACTTCACCATTACCTACCTCACCTACCTCACCTACCTCACCTACCTCACCTACCTCACCTACCTCACCTACCTCCCCTACCTCACCTACCTCACCTACCTCACCTACCTCACCTACCTCACCTACCTCACCTACCTCACCTACCTCACCTACCTCACCTACCTCACCTCACCTACCTCACTCACTCACCCACTCACTCACTCACTTCACTTCGCTTCGCTTCGCTTCGCTTCGCTTCACTTCACTTCACTCACTTCACTCACTCTAACATCCCTCACTCACACACACCACACTCACATCACTCACTCACACTCTCACTCACTCACTGTACATGAACATACATACATACACACAAACTCACCCACCATCACCGCTCCATCACTCTTATACCTCCTCTTCCCTTCTTGCTTTGCTATGCTCAGTCTAAGTCTAAAGAAGTTGGTAACATGTGGGGTTATCCGGTCCTTTAATTTTTATGTCTCCGTGGATTAGAAGAGAAGAGCCAGAATCTAAACCTTTGGTCATATGGGGTTGTTCTACTTCTTCCCAGGAGGGTATTAAAGAAACGAATAAACCACCCGAAAGCATATTGTCAAGGAGCACAGCTCCGAATTCAACTGGCTCTCAGCTATCGCATACGCCTTTCCACAGCGACACAACTCCGGGCTCAATTGCCTGTCGGTCACCAAATACGCCTTGTTCGACTGTTTCTCCTGTTTTCAGTTGCTTAAATCCATTTCGGGTGGCGGGTATGCATACGATAAGAGAGTTTCCTGAGAAATTGGAATCAGAGACCTTGGAATCTGATGAGAATGAATTACAAGCATCGCCATCTTTAATGGGCTGTTTTGCTTGGTCTAATTTTCGAAAATTTTCTTGTGTCGAGACGGATAAACCCAGGGCAGCAAGCGAGCTAGAACAAACAATCAAGTCGAAGCTTAAGCCTTAATTGGGAATTTCCCCACTTGCTTTGCCTGCGGCAGCCCCTCTTTTGCCAAAGAGGGGTAAACCCTGAAATTACAGCGTTAAGTTGTGATTTCTTTACCGATAACTGTTGTTATATTATGTTGCGTATACAAGTTTTATTTGGAATTTATTACGATAACGGTCATTAAAAAGTATTGACTCAAATTTTGTAGTCTGATAACATTACAAGCATCAATACTGATGAGACATCATATGTCGAAACATTCAATACAGCTGAATGTCTATTGAAGAATTGCACGATCTGAACAGTGCACATAGCAATAAAGCCCTAGATGGCTTGGCTTCGTAAAAGTTCCAACTTTGGAACGCACAGTTCATTAGTATGCTGAAGAACAATACGGCAATCATACGCAATAGATCTGGAGTTCCCGCAAACTGCTGATGGACTACTTAGGTGTCCCAAAAACAGCAGCTTGGTAAGGGATGGGGTGCCTTGGCTTTGACTTTGGTGATCGTCATCCAGAGGAGCTGCGTGTGTGGTGTTGCAGGGTTCTGAGTTCATTCCACAGTCAAGTTGGCTGGGAGAATAAAGTTGACAAGGCAAATTGTACAGACACAAGGCCGAGTCAGCTTGCATCTCCAGTGAATGCCAGACCGAGACAGGCGCACTACCAATGGATGCGGTAGAGTCTACCGCAATGCCGATTGAAGACGCTATTAATGATAGCTGAGCAGTCCCTGTTGGGGCCTTGCTGGTCTGCTATTTAAGTAGTACTGATGAGCTTTTATATAAGCGAAGCCAGCAAAATTACCGATGGTATAATTATTACAGAGAGAATCACTATGCTGAACCATGATGCAACGAATTGGGTGCCAAAGTTTAGTGGAGCAAATGATCTCATTACCCTGCAAAATTACGAAGAGAAAAAAAATCAATTGGGAATGACTGAGTTGCATAATAGGATATGCAATATGAGCCCAGAAGATTTTGAGAAACTTGTTAATGGTTTAAGCCAAAAACAACTGTTTGATTTGCAAGGGCCACGTATCGCGGCGCATCGAGGCAGAGGGGTGAATGCCAAACCCATTGGGTGGCCAGAAAATACCTTGGCAGCTGCGAAAGCGGCTATTAAGCAATTTGATGCAAGCGATAAATATGGTGGGCATGCCATAGAATGCGATATACATGTCACAGCAGATGGCTATGCAATTCTAGCACATGGTCCTATTGCAGAGAATTATTGTGTTGTCGATGATGCTTTTATCGAAATAGCAACAAAAATCGGCAAACCCAAAGATAGCAAAGCCAAAGATAAATTAAGATTTGATGAATTAAGCGTTGAGTATGTGCAGCAGTTGACTGTGCTAACAACCCCTTATTCTATACCTGATGGGCATTCTTCTGAAGACTATCGCGTACCTACCTTGTATGAATTTCTTGAATTGATTGCGGTGATCAATGCAAATAGAATAAAAAACAATCAATTTCCATTGTTGGCTAACATTGAATTAAAAGGATTGGGCTCAGGGCTGGCTACATTGCAAGCGATCGAACGATTCAATCAAGATCAAGTTTCAAAAAAAACCTCCACCATCAACCCTGCACACATTGTTTTGCTTGGGCGTGTCACCGAAACCCATGAATTAACTGTGGCGCGACAGGTTTCGGATCAATACACGGCGTTTAATAAAAAATCCAGTCAAGCTGTGACGCTCAGTGAATTTTTTCAAGACATAGAGCGCTATCAACGCGTTAAAGAATTAATTAAAAGTGAAATTGCATTTTATACGAATCATGAATCAAGTCATCATATTGGTTTTCGCCAGGTTGATGGGATTTGTTTGCGAAAATCAAAGTGTTTTTTCATCTACGATTTTCTATGACTTCCTATGATTTTCTATGCTTTATGATTTTCGCCTTCCTTATCAGTAGGTTGATTTGTTGATCCTTGATGTCTAGAGAGTTTTATATAGAGACGTAGAGTTTCTATCCACATGAATTTTGCAGCCCTTACGTCAAAAGAAAACTGTGTCCACAATGGTTCATCGTGATTCGGCTTGGTGGGAAGAGGTGAATGACTGAAAACACCCTTGTCAGTTGATATTAGTTGTTTTTTGGGGTGTTATACCAGCTACTGTAGTTCATTGATTTGTACTACCATGTACTATAGCGATGATATCCCACAATTAATGGGATGTCAACCGCAGGATTCTGGGATTGACAAACCTTTGGATTGTTTTTCCGGTCCCATTTGAGTAGCAGATGAACTCACTATTTGGGGGGACCCCCCAGGCCCTTAATCAACCAGATCTTGTTAATCCGGGTTGACATATTAATGATATATAATGATATCATGTATGATATGAAGTATATTAACATACATATATTATTAGTCATTGACAATGGTAATATTGATAATATTGACTACTACGTAGTATAGTTGGTACGCTTGGTACAGTTATCCCTATCTTTGATAAGAACCCCCCATGAACTTCGGGAGGCGACTCACTTCAGTTGCGCTTCCACAACAACGACGGTCACAGCGAGTGCATTGCCTTACCAGTGCAGCACCTCCAGCGTTCTCGGGTTCTGCAGAGCGTCGTCGGGAAGGCGTTGTTTTTTGATGGTAAACCACCCAGTTTTATGTATATTTGTTGTATTGTTGAAGACTCATCCATTTTTTTGTCAAAATGTGTTGCCTTCCCACAATTTAATTTGCGTTTATGAAGATAAAACATGATTAATCAGTAGCAATTTAGATAATTGTGTACTGTTTTGTGGATCCATCATCGCTTTAAAAACTTGGGCTACGGACCCCAGAATCCCCTTCAGTGTACATGTGATTTCCCAATGTTTTTATGGGGGTAGGAAATTGTTTGGGGATTTTTTTTTTTTTAGTTTGGGGATTTTTTTTTGGATTTCCGGTTCTCACCATTTTCCATGCTATTTGCAGCATTTTGGAGCTGGAAACTGCCATTTCCACGGTATGTGCAACGGTTTTGAGTTCGAACCTCTCATTTTCCATTGTATTTTCCACATTATTTGCAACACTTTGCAGCATGTTCTGTCCATTTTCCATGCTCTTTGCAGCATTTTTGAGCTGGAATCTGCATTTCCACCGTATGTGCAACATTTTACAGCTACATTCCTCACAGTACTTGCAGGATTTTGGAGCTGAAGGCTGACATTCCAACAGTTGTTTGTTGTTACTGTTACTGTTGTTGGTGTTGGTGTTGGTGGTGTTGTTGTTGGTGTTGTTGTTGTTGTTACCGTTAGTGTTGTTAGTGTTGTTAGTGTTGCTAGTGTTAGTGTTGTTAGTGTTGTTAGTGTTGTTATATATATACAATATATATATATATACAATATATATATATATACAATATATATATATACAATATATAAATATATATATATATACAATATATATATATACAATATATATATATATACAATATATATATATATATACAATATATATATATACAATATATATATATATACAATGTATATATATATATATTCTAACCAAAGTAGTGTATTGAAATGTGTGCAAGCTTGAATTTAAATTAAAAAAAACGGGAGGGGGGGATTGGGGGGAGGGCGCAGCGCCTCCCCCCCAAAGCAGATTGGAAACACCTATTTTCACATGCAAGGTGCTAGGTTGAATGTGATACTCAAGGTGTATATACTACACGACATGCACCTTGGAAACATGTGGAATGTAGGTTAAGGCACAACGATGCACAATAGTTTCATTTGATGTTATCATCGAGTTGGTTTAAGATCTATTTATATAAGGTGTGGTTCAGGGTTGGCTTGGGGTTTGAATATCATCCGCATGATAATGCAAACCTTTTAGGTAGATATATATATATATATATACAGATATATATATATATAGATATATAGATATATAGATAAATAGATAAATAGATATATAGATTTAAAGATATATAGATACAAAGATATATGTATATATACATATAGAAATATAGATAGATATATACAGATATATAGATATATGGTGGTATAAATATATATATAGAGAGAGAGAGATAGATATATAGAGATATTTATATAAATATATAGATATATAGTATATATATATAGAGAGATATAGATATATAGATAGATAGATAGATAGATAGGTAGATAGATAGATAGATAGATAATTAGATAGATAGATAGATAGATAGGTAGATAGATATATAGATATATAGATAGATAGATATATATGTATATAGATATCTAGATATAGATATATATAGAGATATATAGAAATATATATAGATATATATATATAGAGATATATAGAAATATATAGATATATATAGAGATATATAGAGATATATAGATATATATATATAGATATATATATATATATATAGATATATATATATAGATATATATATATAGAGATATAGATATATAGATATATAGAAAATTATATAGATATATGATATATATAGAGATATAGATATATAGATATATAGAAAATTATATAGATATATGATATTTATAGAGATATAGATATATAGATATATAGATAATTATATAGATATATGATATATATAGATATATAGATATATAGATACAGCCATAGATGTAGATATAGATAGATATAGATGGATATAGATGGATAGAAGATGTTGCTCCACACCTCATGGAAAAGCAAAAAAGCAAAGAAAAGCAAAAAAACAAAAAAACAAAGAAAAGCAAGAAAAGCAAAAAAGCAAAGAAAAGCAGAAAAGCGAGAAAAGCAAAAAAGCAAAGAAAAGCAAGGAAAGCAAAAAAGCAAAAAAGCAAAGAAAAGCAAGAAAAGCAAAAAAGCAAAGAAAAGCAGAAAAGCGAGAAAAGCAAAAAAACAAAAAAGCAAAGAAAAGCAAGGGAAGCAAAAAAGCAAAAAAGCAAAGAAAAGCAAGAAAAGCAAAAAAAGGAATAGAAGCAAAGAAGCAGAGAAGCACTGCAGGAGGCAATAGAGTAAGCAGGAAGAAATCCAAAAAAAATTCCCTAAACTAAAAAAAATAAATCCCTAAATAAATGGCCCTCCTTTTTATGGCCCTAAGTTGAGGCCATAGACAATTTCCAAAGTCAAAAGTTGGATTGGATACTTTAATGGCCATTTTAGGCACCTAAATTGGAGGTACCTACCATATATAAGGCCTATTTTTTAGGCCTATGTAAGGGAATCCCCACAAAATATGGCCTTATATGGTACAGTACCTCCATTCTAGGATCCTGAAATTCCCATTGAATACTGTACAAAAATATCAGGGGATGGTCAACAATCCAGTAACAGGGATGAAACATCCTACGCATGATGTGGCTGGATTCCCATTCTTGGGTTGATATGGATTGATGAGTATATACCATGACCATACCATCTTTGATATCTGTTGACCATGAAATAAGAGATTGGTCGGTATCATTCAGTTTAACTGTGGTAGGAAGAACATCTTCCAGAAGCTTTTCATGAAGATCCCGTGTTTCATCAGCCATTTTTGGTGCAAAGAAACCGGTAAAAACCCATGGGGTTTCAATGGTTCCTTGGCAGGCCTTGATCGATGATGCCATGAAGGACCTGCCGATCGGGACGGAGGAGGCGAAGCGTTGCCAAGATCGGATCATCCGCTTGGGCTGGGGCCTCAGTTTCCCGACATTGAAACTGTGGAGACAAGCCGTTAGGCGCGAGGTGCCTAGGTGCCTAGGTGCTGTACAAAAGTTTGGTTTTTCTGGTTGTGGAATGTTGGAAACATGGATTTTTAGATTGATTTTGGTTCATGATAAGTCTTACTCGCAGAAATGGCGCAGAGGGCATTTTGGTGTTGGAAAATGTTGGAAGCAAAATCCTTGCTTTAAGAAGATTTAGGACGTCTTTCGGAACTCTTCCACTTTCAACTCTTGATTTCTGATTTCCTCCAGATTTTCTCCTAGTGGTCCGGACTGGATGCTACTGGTTTTCCATGTGAGCTACTTCGATCGCCGGGATTTTGAACAGGTTTTGCATTTGCGAGTTTGGACTTTGGCCATGAGAGTTTTGTTGCTTACTCTCCCCAGTTTGGAACTACTGTGAAGAAACTTCTTCGTGCGATAGCATCTTTTGCATTGATACAACCTGATGTATGCCATCTGTATCTCATGAGCTTTCGTTGTCAAAATTCTATCATTGTGCGCTTTTCAAGTTTGATACTTATTAACTACTTATAAGATTGAATATAATACTTACGTAGTTGTGTCATTATATTTGGTATTATTTGCATGAGTCTATGTGCTACATCGACTCGTATTTGTCTTGATCTTATTCTTCCGAATCAAAACCCCAGAGTCCCAACATGTCAACATGTCCATGTCTCGCCAAGGTACAGAATTCCAAGTCGTCACCAAGTACACTTCATTGGTTGCTGTTTGCTCAGAGAGCTCTGATTTGGATTCTTGCCTGAGTTTGCAGCAGTTTACGCAGCTGAAGTATGGGCTGTTTACTTTGGGCAACTATGTGGCAACTTATCATGAGCGAAGCAAACCGTTGTTTTTGGGGATAGTCACCGTACTGCCAAAGTTAAGACAGCTCCGCTGGATTTCTCTCGGTCAGCTTCCAGCGGATGCTTCACAGTTTGTCCTTGGCATCGAGGATTTGCCAACATCGGCAGTTTCAGCAAACCGGCAGCTTCCGCAAAGACCATTCGGCGGCAGTCGAGGTGCGATGATGTGCGGTTTTGGTATGGGTCAAAATGTTGATATCTTCATGGACCCACAAGAAATTATTAATGATGTTTAGTACTAAGGTTGTACCCTCTGGTAATTTGTTACATAGCTATTGAAAATGGATGAAAATGGCCCATAGAAATAGTTGATTTTCCCATTAAAAATGGTGGATCTTCCCATAGTTTTTTGTATGTTTACCAGAGGGTATACCCTCTGGTCATCATTTCAGTGAAGAACTTCTCCCAGCCATCCCAGCCGGGTCCCAGCCAGGCTGCATTTCCACTCACGAGCTTGGACCTCTCATGCGGTCCCTGGGGCAAAACCCCACGGAGGCAGAACTACAGGACGGTGCGAACCACCATGAAACGCGGTTCGAATGACAAGGTCATGTTCTATTCAAAATATGTCAAAGTGCCAAGTCCATTCAAATCATTCCAAATCCATAAAATGCAGCAAACAACAACAACTCGATCCATCATTGAGATGACGATCTGCGTGTTTTTGCAGATGTTTTTCATGGTGTTTTGTTCCATCAAATCCTGAGGGTGTTTGTAAAAAGCGGCTGAAGGGGAAATCGTTCAAGCCCCATAATTAGTTGGGTGTATTGGCAGTGTAACAATGCTGGTTTATGCTGGTTTACTATCATGTTTTCCCCCATTTTCCCTCAAATCAATTTAATCATAAAACCAATCCTCAAAGCGCTCGTTTGAGAAGTGACACCCACAGCAAGTTGCAAGTGGAATCGTAGCTGTGCTTGTAGAACTTGTCCGACAGGAAAGCATGCATTGCAGAGTTGTTCCATTTGGTTCGATCTCTTTCATGCAGTTCTGCTTGTTTTCATAAAGAGTTTCAGAAGTGTGCTGTATGCAAACAGCATCACAAAGTATAGCAATTTACACATACACTTGGCAATTTCCATCAAGCTGGGGCCATGGACCTTGAGAAAGCCCAAGAAGCGCGCCGGTTGGCTCCAGACTTCTTGAAAGACTTCCGTCGCGCTGATGCGCGTGGAGTGCAGTTGCTGGATGATTTCATGGTAGCGTTGCGCCGCAGAGATGCAGCGAAAACAACAGATGAAAGGTATCAAATTGCAGCTGAAGATTTGGAGCCAATCTTTGAGATTCTACGGGAGGTGGGATGGATCAAAACTTATCATTATTTGTATATATATATATACGTGTATATATATATATAGATAGATAGATACATTAGATTAGATGAGATAAGATAAGATGGATAGATAGATAGATCGATAGAGAGATAGAGAGATAGAGATAGATATAGATAGATATAGATAGATATAGATAGATAGAGACAGATAGAGATAGATATAGATAGATATAGATAGAGATAGATAGAGATAGATAGATATAGATATAGATAGATATAGATAGATATAGATAGATATAGATAGATATAGATAGATATAGATAGATATAGATAGATATAGATAGATATAGATAGATATAGATATGTAATATGTATATGATTATATGTATATGATTATATATATATGATTATATATATATGATTATATATATATATATGATTATATATATATATATATGATTATATATATATGATTATATGTCATATGTGAATATATAAATAAATATATATATATATATGATTTATCAATGAGAAGAAACCTATACATGGGATTTACGGGATGAACATCCAGAACTACCAGCTGTTTTGGTGAAAACTCCGGGTACCAGAGCTTTGACCCTTTTGAGCCAGGTAGTACAGGAATGCAAGCAGGCGGCCTCAGATCTACATCAAAAAGCACGAGATGCTGCTCTTCATTCTTCGGGTCCCGAAGAAGTTGATGTTCTGGAGCTGTTTCAGGCCGCAGATCGTGCGGAACAAGACGTCCAGTTGAAGACACAACTGGTTGATAGCCTTTCCCTGGCCTCCAAAGTTGAACACGTCACGGCTGTTCAAGTCATGTGGATGTGCAAACCATATTTGAACCAGGCAAGCTGATCGCATCTTCCCTAGGTTTAAGGGAAATTTGAAACCAGAAAGCATCCGTAAGCCAGCCAAGTATCGGGGTTTTCCTGTACATTTTCCCTTACACCATTGGACATCTGAAAGAGATTGACTGTACATAGACGGCCAAGACGGTCCAAGGGAAGCGAACCAGTGCGCAATCCTAGACCAAAAAGGCGTTCAAATGAGTTGCGTAGCACATGAAGGCGACGTTCAGCCAATCAGAAACCATCCTTTATTTCAACATATGGCCAAAAGTAAAAAAAACATAGAACATCAACATCAAGTATGATATGAGGATGTCTTTAAATGGTGGCTGAAGTCCCAACCACCAGGACATGATCAATGAGGTGGACTGCGACGGGAACGGCGTCATAGACTTTCCAGAGTTTCTCAGCATGCCTTTTGGCTTTCAAAATCGAGGTGAAACAAAGCATCAAAATTCTGGGGGTATATTAATGAATCCAGAATAATTAGTAGAAAATCTGGGAACTTGGTTATCAAAATTCAATTATCATTGGTATCAAACTGTTTTTTTCTTTTAATGAATCCAAGTAGTGGTTATCCGAACATCTGGAAATCCAAAATCCTGTGGTGCCAAGCGTTTTCCAAGCGGCATTCCCCCATAGTGCCATAGTGCGATTCCGCGCGGGAAGTGACCGGAGAATCCCCATCTTTCATGTTAAAGCCTTGAGTTTTGATGGTAAAAAGATACAGTAATGGTTAAACCATGTTAAACCGTTAGTTAAACCCCCAATTTCGCTCGGTTAAATCTCCGTGTTTCTCTTTTGGTCCTCCATCCCAAATCAAACGCCTCTTGAGGCAAGCGCGAAAGATGAGGGACACAGACGGGGAGGCGGAACGAAGAACGATGTTGTCGTACGTTGTGTTTTATTTAGAAGGTATGAAACATATCCATCTAACTCATATATATCATTATACTTATATATCCTCTTATTTATTTTTGATGATTTATGTATATATATATATAATATATATATATATATGTTTATAGTTATGGATCGTATTGTGTCGATATAGTAGATATACATATTAGACATACCTATGCGTACGTAGCAATACGTAATGTATATGTTGTCAATATGTTAAGAAATGAAGACATGTTATGTATACATATATTAATATATACATATGTCTGTTTGTCTGTCTGTCTGTCTGTAGGTAGGTAGGTAGGGATGTGCATATAAGATATTATATACATTATGATATTATATATATATATGAAATTATATATATATGATATTATATATATATACCCTAATCCTCAAAGAACCTCGAAATGAAGGCCTTTCATGAGGACCTCCCATTTGAGCAAAGGACCTGAAAGGACCTGAAAGGACCTGAAAGGACCTGAAAGGACCTGAAAGGACCTCCCATGCGAATCATAGGCTTTCTGCAGGATGCTGAGGCCGTTTCTGCTTGACACTGAAGGGTCAGCACACACAGGATAGAATAGTTTCATTCAAGATGATAGCTAGAAATGAAAACACCATAGAAGAGCTATGGCAAACTGAATAAGGTTGCCACAAAATGATGGTTTCACAAAACCTATCTCCCCAGTGAGCCCATTAGCAATGCCTCAGCTGGCAGCTGGCCGTTCACAAAGTCAAGGGATTAATTTGTTTATATGATTTTATATGATCGAAGGAAGTTTAGAAGTCAAACTTCCAACAATATGGACAGATGAAAAGAAGAGTAGGGCAGAGGCAGAGAGAAGAGAAAGATTAGAAGAGAGAAGAGTAGAAGAGAAAGAGTCAGAAGAAAGAAGATGCAGATGCGCGAAAAGGTAGGAAAGTCGCGAAACACTGTGTTTTTCCAATGATTTGAGGCTCAGGAGGGTCGAAAAGTAGGCTCGCTAAAGCGGCGGGTGCGGAGCCAGCTCGCCAGATGAGAGATGAAAAGTTGCACGCCGTTGTGGCGCGAAGCACATGTGCAAGTCAAAATGTACAAAACACCTCAGCTCCGGACCACTTTTGGAAGTTGCAATATGTTGCAATGCCGAAAAAGTGCACGCCGTTGTGGCGCGAAGCACATTTCGAAGTCAAAATGTACAAAACACACCAGGTTCGGACCACTTTTGGAAGTTGAGATGTCGAAAAAGTGCACGCCGTTGTGGCGCGAAGCACATTTCCAAGCCAAAATGTACAAAACACACCATGGTCGGACCACTTTTGGAAGTTGAGATGTCGAAAAAGTGCACGCCGTTGTGGCGCGAAGCACATTTCCAAGTCAAAATGTACAAAACACACCATTCTCGGACCACTTTTGGAGGTTCAGATGTCGAAAAAGTGTCGAAAAAGTGCACGCCGTTGTGGCGCGAAGCACATTTCGAAGTCAAAAGTGTAAAAAAACTGAGGGTTTTGAGCCTTTTTTGACGTGAAGATGTCGAAAAAGTAGACACTGATTAACTTAACTAACTTGACTAACTTAACTAACTTCACTACCCTAACTTCGACGACAACAGCAACAGCAACAGCAACAACAACAACAACACCAACCACAACAACACCAACCACAACAACTACAACTACAACAACTACAACTACAACAACTACACAACAACTAGAACTACAACTACAACTAGAACTACAACAACAACAACAGCAACAACAACAACAACAACAACTACTACTACTACTACTACAACTACAACTACAACTACAACAACTACAACAACTACAACAACTACTACTACTACAACTACAACTACAACTACAACTACACTACACAACAACTACAACCACACAACAACTACAGCTACAACAACAACAACAACAACAACTACAACTACAACTACAACTACAACTACAAAACAACTACAACTACAAAACAACTACAGCTACAACTATATGACTGCAACTACACTACACCAATTACATTACACCACAACTACAACTGCACTACGCTACAACTACAACTACAGTTGCAGTATGTTGCAGTACATCACACTACATCCAGCAGTTGTGGGTGAGGTGACCACTGCAACCATTGCAACCACTCCAGCAAACACAACTCCAACCACTTTTCGGTCAATCAGTGGATTCGCTCTGCCATCCGTGATTCACAACAACCAACGTCTCCTATAGGTTTCCTATTCTGAAACTTCCGCCACCGCCTTGTGCGGTACTACTGGTACCCTTCATTCCGGATAAACTGCCAAGGCCGAGCTGCAGCCCTTTATTGTGAGCTTTGGGTCAAAACACCTTTATGATCTGTCCTCCAAATTAGCCCATTTGGTGGAAACAGTTTCCTTGGAATCCAAGGGTTTTCAAACCGGGTCACGCTGGGAGGGGCCAGGTGGCGCGCGGCAGTTCTTCTGCCGATGCAATCTTGCTGAGCTGAGAACTGAAGTACATCACGGGACAGGTGGTCGAAGGATCTTACTGGCCCGTATTCTGAACTGGAACTGGCCAGTATTTGTCCAAGATGTTTTTCCTCGACAAACTTGGGAATCTTGGGACACTAGTTGCAGACTTCCCAACTCAGAAGCCAACTGACTTGGCAAATTCGAGGGATTGCCAAATGGAAGAGCAAATTTGGTGCTGCCACAAAACATATAAACAGAAACCCAACAGAAACACAGAAGAAAACAAATCAGAATTCAACATAATACATATAAAACAGAAAATCATTGCAAAGCAGAATGGAAACATAGAAAAAAACACAACAGAAAACAAATCAACATAACAATCATAACAGAAACGTAGAAAAACAAGACATAAACCAATTTTAAGCAGAAACATAACAGAAAAAATAAAGAAAAACATAAAACGGAAACATAACAGACACATAGAACTAAAACACAACATAATTCAGATTTTAAGCAAAAACATAACAGAAGCAAAACATAAAACAAAACATTACATCAAATAGAAAGCAAACTGTGAAACATACTGGAAACAAAACATACAAAGAGACCAAAAACATAAAGTAGAGAGCAACTGCAAAACATAACAGAAACATAACATAGAACACACCATAAAACATTTAAAAAAAAATCGAGAGCAAACTGCCAAACATAACGGAAACATAACAAAAAACACACCATAAAACATAAAATAGAGAGCAAACTGCCAAACATATCAGAAACATAACATAAAACAAAACATAAAACATAAAATAGATAGCAAACTGCCAAACATAACAAAAACATACAGAAACATAAATGCATTTTAAATAAAATAGAGAGCAAACTGCGAAACATAACAGAAACATACACAAACATAAATGTGTTTTGCATGTTTGACTCCCGTGCTCTGAGCACCAAAGCCGGGATGGGCGCAAAACACGGGTGAATTCCCGTGAAAATCCGTGAAAAGGACCTCCCATTGCGTGAAAGGACCTCCCACAGCGTGAAAGGCCCGTGAATTGGGAACCCAAATTTCTTCAATTTTTGAGTGTTGGAACATCATGGGAAAACATGAAAATGATGCCATCAGAAGATGTCAGGGCACCACTTTAGTTGTTCAATAGTTTAGTTGATCCATTATTCAAAACATGTTCACAATTTCAAGCATACTCCTTCCATTTTCATGTTTCCCCTCGAGCACCCACCAATCGAAGTCTAAAATGCAGGATTCACCGTTTATTGAGCTGGGTTCCTTTCCTGCATTCAAGCACTTGGTTCAAAACTTGAGGCTTAAAGTGGGTTCCATTTGGGGTTCCGTCCACAATGCCACTCTCCGCTGCTGCTTTTATGTAAACTTCATTTATGTTTGTGTATGTTTCTGTTATGTTTCGCAGTTTGCTCTCTATTTTATTTAAAATGCATTTATGTTTCTGTATATTTCTGTTATGTTTGGCAGTTTGCTCTCTATTTCATGTTTCATGGTGTGTTTTATGTTATGTTTCTGATATGTTTGGCAGTTTGCTCTCTATTTTATGTTTTATGGTGTGTTTTATGTTACGTTTCTGTTATGTTTTGCAGTTTGCTCTCTACTTTATGTTTTTGGTCTCTTTGTATGTTTTGTTTCCAGTTTGTTTCACAGTTTGTTTTCTATTTGATGTGTTATGTTTTGTTTTATGTTTTGCTTATGTTACGTTTTTGCTTAAATTCTGAATTATGTTGTGTTTGGGTTCTATGTTTCTGTTATGTTTCCGTTTTATGTCTTTTTTTTCTGTTATGTTTCTGATTAAATTTGGTTTATGTCTTGTTTTTCTATGTTTCTGTTATGTGTGTTATGTTGGTTTGTTTTCTGTTGTGTTTTCTTCTATCTTTTCATTCTGTGTTGCAATCATTTTTCTGTTCAATATGTATTGTGTTGAATTCTGATTTGTTTTCTTCTGTGTTTCTGTTGGGTTTCTGTTTATATGTTTTGTGGCAGCACCAAATTTGCTCTTCCTTTTGTGCAGTTCTCGAATTTGCCAAGTCAGTTGGCTTCTGAGTTGGGAAGTCTGCAACTAGTGTCCCAAGATTCCCAAGTTTGTCGAGGAAAAACATCTTGGACAAATACTGGCCAGTTCCAGTTCAGAATACGGGCCAGTAAGATCCTTCGACCACCTGTCCCGTGATGTACTTCAGTTCTCAGCTCAGCAAGATTGCATCGGCAGAAGAACTGCCGCGCGCCACCTGGCCCCTCCCAGCGTGACCCGGTTTGAAAACCCTTGGATTCCAAGGAAACTGTTTCCACCAAATGGGCTAATTTGGGGGACAGATCATAAAGGTGTTTTGGCCCAAAGCTTAAAATGTGTTCGCGCTCTGTGGGGGTTGTTGGGATTTAAGGTGGGAAACATTATAACTCATATGAAGTTATATGATGGTTTATGTTTTTCTTTGTTTTTGATGTTTTGTGATGGTTTGTGATGTTATATGATATGCATAACATCATCTTATATCATTATATATCATTTATGAACATTTATGAGGGCCTTTGGCGAAAGGACCTCTGTATGAAGGCCTTTGGTGAAAGGACCTCAGTATGGAGGCCTTTGGAAGTGTAGGGTATATATGATATTATATATATATATATACTATTATCTCACTGTGGTGCTTATTCTCTTGAAGCGTTTTCCCACAGGAGGAACTCATGGAAGCCTTTCGGGTCTTCGACGTCAACGGCAGCGGCTTCATCTCTGCGGCGGATTTTCGACATGTGATGACCAATCTAGGCACGGGGGAAAATCATGGGGGAAATCATTGGAAAATGATGACAAAATGACCAATCTGCGGGTAATATACCCACATTTGTGGCCACTTTAATAGGGAAAACATAGGGGAAAATTGAATGATAATCTATTCGAATTGTGGGTTTTCCTTTAGATTGTCATGGTGTGATGAGATTTCGAAAATCTGAGTTTAGGGAGAAATCTCGAGGCCAAACCCTGGATTTGAGTCTTTTTGGGTGTCTAAGTCACAGTTTTCTAGAGGCTTTCCCTTGAAGCGATCGATTGAAGAACCAAGTTTACAATATGGTTCAGTTTTCCAGAGGCAAAATGAAGTAGAGCCGATGATTTCATACATAGTGGTGCCCCATAGATGGCTAAGTTGGTTTATAACTACAATAAGTGGGACTTATGGTAGATATATCGAACTAGTTGATTGGGGTTATAAACTAACTTATAACTGGGGGGTACCACATTGTACAATTTCCTTGTTCTGAAGATTTGTGTTTGCTTTCCATGGACCTTGGGGTGTTTTTTCGTTTTCATGGCATGCAGAACTGCAATTGCTTGGCTCAGCTACAGCCACTGGAGGGTGGGGGAGGGCGCCATGGCACCCATCGAATCATTAAAGCTACCGAAAGCTGCAAGAGCGACACCGCCAGCGATCGGTCGGAAAGGATTCCTTTCCCATTTGGATTTCTGTTTACAGATGGAAACACAGTGGATGCACCTCAATCGATTCCGAGTTGCAGTGGAAAAAAGTCCCAAGACGTTTCAACTGCTGATAGACTATCGTCGACAAATCTTTGAGCAAGTTGAGACGCCAGAGCCTGCGGAGCCTGAAGTTCCAGATCTCGATCAGATCGATTTCAAGGAAGCGATGATTACCATTCCCCCCTCAAGAAGATGTACATTTCTGAGCTCAAGGCGAAGTACCAGGTCCGTGGTCCAACTTTGATTAGGAATTTTTCAGGCGGAATGGCGAAGCCGGCTTCGCGAAGCGCCAGATCTGCCGCTCCGAGGGAGCTTTGGCATGCTTTGGCAACGGACTCGGAAAGCAAAGAATTTGGTGAGAAATGTTTGAGTTGAGCTGTCTTGAGTGACTCTGGTCTGCAAGCAAAGCACAGAATCCAGTGCTTCCCCTCATTCAAAAGCTTGATAAAGCTTGGGAGCTGTAGATCCAGCCGTCTACTCAGCTGTTGGAATTCAAAGCTGCATTTTTTGGCCTGCCATTTTGAATCCTCACTTGAAGTGTGTTGCAGCTGAAATATAGCACATTGCCAGATGGTCTACTCTGGTTTACTAGTGTTTGGAACGCCAGTCGCCAATTTAAAAGATTATAAAAGCTGTTTATCAAAGCACCTCACCTTGCAAAGCCGTGCAAAGCCGTGCAAAACCTTGACACATGCATGGGGTTGCCTCCAAAAAATCACCAAAATCCACAGTTGATCATGATTTCCCCATATTTCCCCTATGAACATGGCCATACTCATAGTGCCCGGGGTTCCCTCCTCCATCATCCTGTGACCATCAGGCGGTAGGAGGCGGCAGTCAGATTGCTGATTGCCGATTCGCACAACTTCGGCAAAGTCGATGTTTTTGCAAAGCTTTTGAGTCGAATGCTCCCTCCACATGGTGTGTTGCAGCAAAAAAAGCAGCATGAAGGGAGCCTTCAAATTGTCAAACCGTGTCTCAAAGAACAAAAAGAAACATCCCAAAACATGTGCAGAGTCTCGAGAGATGAGGTTGATGGAGGGATTGGGTGTTTCCAGTTCCCAGATTGGTGCGTTCCCTTCCTTGGCCTTTCTTTTTCCCAGAACGGAATTTAGGGTCCTCGATGGGTTTTTGGCTTACGGGAACCGAAAATCCAGACCCCTTGATTCCCCCCAATGCATGTCCTACGCAAATCCCAGTTGAAACAGCTAAAGAATATCCCAATGACTGGTTTTACCCCTGGCCTGATTATCACCACAAGCTGATTTGTAACATGAGTCAGACCTGACTTTGAGGGATAGTCAAAGAATGCCAAAGATCTTGTTTGCAGATTCTGCTAAGATACGGCCAGGAGAGTGTTTGAGCGACCAAGAGATTGACGAGATGTTCAGACAAGCTGACGTTGGTTGTGACTTTGAGCAGGCATCTTATGCTGCAGTCACTGCAATGTTAACAGTGGATTAATATGGATTAATGGTAACCCCCTGTCTACTGAGAAGGGGATTGAACATTTAAAGACTAATTCTTCATATTTTGGGGTAATCCCCAATTTTAATCGGTTTTATTTTGTTCAGAATTTATTCATCCGGGGTTGACTCACTATGCTGCAGTCTTTGTTCAGATTTGGTCCTTTCCAGGAGAGCGAAAGCACAGAGACAGAGTTTGTTCCTCCAGACGCTGCCACCATTCTGAATAAACAGAAGGCACGGCCCATGGATGGACTCGCAGGGGTCGGTCCTTTTCAGATCCCTACAGAAATGGTGGGTTTGTTTTTTGAAATGTTGTGAGAAGACCCCTAAATCATAAATCCATCTCAGGTATATACCCTTCTTCATCATTTCCCTCATCAAAGCGCCATAGATATAATTGGATATAATTGGGAGGTCAGGTCCTATCCATTGAAATCCCATGGGATGTCTCCATCTTAGGGTTGGCAAATCCCCAATTTTCAGGTCCATACCCAAGCATCACTACGCAAGGCATGGCTTCAAGAACTTATTCTCCTTCAGGCTGGGGATGTCCTTCTCGTCAGGTCGCCTTTGTGGCAAGTCTGTTTCTAAGGCAAAGAATTGTAGAAGTCTCGTGGTTCGGAAAAAATCACCCTTACATCCAAAATGCATCAAAATGCAACAGTTCGACTGATACAGTAGTTCTTGCGTAGCCTTGAAGAAGAAAAAAGAAACTGTGGGTGGCTATCTTCACCAAGCAGCAACAGCTGTGAAAAAAGATAGGTCATGTTTGCTTTTCGGTGGAAACGACTCAGCCAACTTGAGATGTAATACATCCGAGTACATCCCAAATATGTACTGTACTGTACAATATTCAGTAATGCATATCAATTATTAATATTATGCATATGTTTTGCATATGTTTTGCTGTTTCCATTTTTCATTTCTGGCTCACCATTCTTTTTTTGTGAGGCCTTTGATGGTTCTTGGAAGGACACCTTGGAGCTTCGGGAGGTCTTGGCATTGCCAAACGATGCGTTTCTTGAAGGCGGGGAGCTGGGCGGGTTTTGTTGGCGCATTTTGCATGGGAGACCTGGTTTAACCATTAAGAATTAGGGGGCTTCACCATCAATTATACCGAGTAGTTTTATGTTGTTTTTATGATGTTTTATGATGTTTTAATGATGTTTTATGATGTGTTATGATGTTTTATGATGGTTTATGATGTTTCATGATGTTTTATGATGTTTTATGATGTTTTATGATATTTTATTATGTTTTATGATGTTTTATATATGATGTTTTATATATGATGTTTTATATATGATGTTTTATGATGTGTTATGATGTTTTATGATGGTTTATGATGTTTTATGATGTTTTATGATGTTTTTATGATGTTTTATGATGTTTTAATGATGTTTTATGATGTGTTATGATGTTTTATGAT